AATAGGTGCTTCTATATTTAGTGGTACACGATAACATTTCAATACATCAGTTTTAAACCTGCTCTGAATAGCACACGTGCTAGAGCGTTCTATTCATCGTATGAAGGAAGTGTATCTTTGATACTAGCCTCTTGGAGACGTGGTTGTTTATAAGTAAAAAGGCACAAGCTTGTGAAGCTGGACTTGGAAGGGTTTAGAACCCTAAGATGTTTAAGCTCTTTGAGCTTGTCTTCCTCTGCACCTAGTGCATAAGTAGCTTTGCTACAATAGCTCTGCTACATCAGATCTTCGTCTATTTGTAAACATGTAAGCCAATCACTTTACAAGATTTCGACAGGAGAGAAAGGCTTCTATATATATTAAGCCCTAGGCGAAATAGATGCAAAAGATGATGAAGGGTTTAGCATCGTTACCCACTTGATGTCAACCATTATGATCTTTAATGTTAGACTTTTATCGAGATCTTACGCGAGCTTTTTTAACATTTTCGAAATTTCACCTCAACTTTTTTATTTTTGTTCTCCAAACAGTTTCTAAAAATCTTTTCCCACTGCTTCTCATATATTTCGTACTTAGTGTTGATTAAATCTGATTCATACTAAAATCAAATCTACCGTTAGATCGACAAGTGACCATCACTCTTTGATCATGGCGGCCAGCACCAATGTGTTTAAGCGTTTACCGACATGCGTCTTACCAGAAAAGGTTACTTTATGTCACCCTATTCTCTTTTGCCTTGTCTTGTGTATCTCCTCATACTTTTCTCATCTCTTTCTGACGTGTGAACGCTGCAGTATCATGTAGATTATGTGCTCATTGACCTGCTTCAATTCCGCTTTGAAGGCTCTGAGCGCGTCATACTACAAGTAAACGAAGAAACATGTGTCATTACCTGTCACGCTGTAGAGCTCTACGTGTTTGACGTTTCAGTAGAGGATGCCACGTCTTTATGGAAGAAACAACAAGCTCAACAAATAGAGTATCGGATTAAGGACGACTCTGTATCGTTTCACTTTGCCAAGCCACTGGCTGCAGGCTCCAAAGTGACACTCCATCTCAAGTTTCATGGCTTTTTAAATGACCAGTTGAGAGGATTCTACCGCACCGAGTATGAGAATGAAGAAGAGAGACGTGTACTTGCAGTCACGCAGTTTGAAGCGTGTGATGCTCGTCGTGCCTTTGTATGTTGGGATGAACCAGCACTTAAAGCTACGTTTGAGATCTCAATGGTTACGGAGACAGACCTTGTCGCACTGTCGAATACTCACGTTGTGGAGACCCTTGTGAGACCAAAGAAGAATGCGCATATTCGCAAGAAAACGCGCTCAGGTGTTCGCGGTACAATGGAAAAAGTCTGGAAGTTTGCAGAATCTCCAGTCATGTCGACGTATCTGGTGGCGATGGTAGTGGGAGAGTTTGACATGATCTCTGATCTGACCAAGGAAGGGGTAGTGGTGAATGTATACACGGCGCCAGGACAAAGTGCGCGAGGACGCTTTGCACTCGGTGTGGCAACCAAGGCTTTATCGTTTTTTACGAAAAGTTTCGGCATTCCGTATCCACTGAAAAAGCTGGACATGGTGGCCATCCCAGACTTTTTGGGTGCTATGGAGAACTGGGGGCTTGTGACGTACACGGAGACGTTCTTACTGGTCGACCGGAAACTTAGTAGTCATGAGATTAAGGCCGACGCTGCACGCACTGTTTGTCACGAGCTGTCGCATCAGTGGTTTGGTAACCTTGTAACAATGGACTGGTGGACAGGCCTCTGGCTCAATGAGGGCTTCGCCCAGTTCATGGAATTCGATGCTGCAGACCATATTTTTCCGGAGTGGAAGCTATGGGAGACTTTTGTGCAAGATGTCATGCTTGGGTCGGCGTTCGTGAAGGATGCCATGGTGTCTTCGCACCCAATCGAGATGATAGTGAACCACCCTAATGAGGTAGATGAAATCTTTGATGCTATTTCGTACCACAAAGGATCAAGTGTGGTGCGCATGCTATCGGAATATCTCAGCCGTGACGTTTTTTATCGCGGGGTGCATGACTACCTTGTGAAGTATAGCTACAAAAACACCGTGACAGAGAATTTGTGGGAGGAACTCGAGAAAGCATCAGGCGAAAAGTTGAAAGACATGGCAAATTCATGGACTAAGCAGGTGGGCTTTCCGTTGGTTACGGTGACGGAGAATGCTGATGGTACATGCACACTCGTTCAGGAGCGTTTCTTCGCGGACACGAGCATGAACAGCACTGACAATACGGTCTGGGATATCCCACTGACGCTTTGCGCATCGGACAACCCCAACGCTGTTAAGCGCCTTGGGATTTGGAACGCTAAGACGTCGTCTCTACAGACTTTGACGACAACCACAACGCCGCTAGCAGCTGGTGATGATATTAACAAGCAAATCCAAGTACCACCAGGGCTTAACGGCTGGATCAAGCTGAACCCTCGCCAGGCAAGCTACTACCTCGTGAACTATTCTCCGGCTTTGTGGAATCGTCTCAAAATTCCTGTGAAGGAACAACTTCTTGGTGTCCCAGATCGTGTAAGCCTCTTAAACTCCGTGTTTGCGTTTGCTCGGGCTGGTGTGCTGAGCTTGCCCGTTGCTTTGGACTTTACAAACGCATATGTTGACGAATCTGCTTCCCTGTGTTGGAAAGAGATTTCGCGCAACATGGGATATTACTCTAATTTGTTTCGTGAAGAACCATTTTACCCTGAGTTTCAGCAGTATATTCGCACTTTGTTTGCACACGTGATGAGGCGATTGGGTTGGGATGCTGACTTGTCTACGCAAGTTGACGCTGATGAGGGTGAGTTTCGTAAGACAGTCATCTACCGGTTGGGTCTTGCCAATGACCAAGATGTGATCAGGGAAGCAAGGAAACGCTTCCACGAGTATATTGGTGGCAATCCGGCTGCACTTTCCGGCGACCTCCGTGGTTCTGTTTTTAACATTGAAGTTACATACGGGGACGCGTCCACTGCCAAACTGCTGCAGGACTTGCACAACAAGAGTGACTTTGCTGAGGAACATAATGACTGCCTCAGCGCTATGGGATCAGTAGCTGGTGCAGCCTCAAAACTTCAAGTCTTAGAATGGGCAGTGGAGAATGTTCGATCCCAGAACATTCATTACCCATTTATCAGTGTAGCTTGTGACAAGATTGGAGTCCAAGTGGCGTGGCAGTACGTGCAAGACAACTGGGACTTTTTGTCCAAGAAGTATTCGGCGATGACGCTGGGTTCTATTGTGTATGGTGTTGTTTCTCGTTTCCAAAGTAAAGCGATGGCTGCAGAGGTGGAAGCCTTCATGGTTGGCAAGGACACATCGGGGTACAAGCGTCGTATGGATGTCGCTATAGAAGAAGTTCATCTCAAGAATGCTGCGTTTTGCCGCGGCCGTGAGGCCTTGGAAAAGTGGCTGAAGGAGCGTCTTGTATAAGGCGCAAGTTGTTCGCATGTATGTGGTAAGTTTTTATAACTTGACGCTTTGCTTTTGCAATGTCTTGTCACATTCGTGAGTAAGTGTCAAATTCCTTCGTACCATCGAGTAGCGAAATTTTGCCGTCACATAGAGTTCTTTTACACATCACATGACGGCAGGTTTTGCTACACGGTTTCTTCTTTATTGCTGAGCAGTCCAGATGCTATGGTCTAACGGGGCCATCATCGGATCAGATGCTGCTGAATGCGTGATACGGGTATGTTGCACTACTTGTAGCTGTCCGCAGCTCTATCCTTGACATCGGCCGTACCACAAGACGCACCAGATATTGCAGTGAAAGGATCGGACTCGTCGACATTGTCATCATTACCAAGTAAGTGTAACTAATACTTCCAGCTCTCCCTGAACAAGGTCCATATTCATACAGGATTACAGATGTCAATGGTAACTGTATTCTTCAGTTCCAAGAATCTACCTCCTTGTAACAACGCAACTAGACTATCAGGTCAGCAGACTACATTACAAAGGTTCAAATAAGTTCATCTGGAAGTGAAGAGAATGCAAGCTCATCTGTTTCTAAGACATAATCTTAGAAACAGCTTCTCATGACGAAAAAACCGTGATGGAGCCACCAGGCCTTGTACGTTAGGGCTCAACTGCTAGAGTCAAGAAGGGTAAGTAGATCCATCAAGCGCAACAACTGTTCAGCCTTCGACAAATTTTGTAACGTCGAGATTGTCAGCATCTGAAGGCACAAATGGTCGTAAATCTCACGAGTGTCTTCAACATCAAGCTATGCGCGTCCCACAGCAGTCGACTCAATGGTCTCGAGGTACGACTGGGAGTCGGCCTCCGTAGCTATTTACCTCCTCGTGTCTGTCTCCTCGTAAGAATCAGCAGCTACCAAACAAAATTATATTGCAGTTGTTCGAGCAAGAAAAATTGGTCCCAATGCGAACTGAAAATCGGACCGCTCCGTCAGCAGTCACGCCAGAAGACCCATAGCAAGATTGATGCACCATTACTTCTTCCATTGAGGCAAAACCAGCTCCATTGATCAAAGTATGTCACGTCCTAGTGCAACCCTGATGCGATAGCGAAATATTTACATCAACCCGATGTTAAGCTGCTTCGTCATGTGAAACAGTTTCGGGCAGCTTCATCCTGAAAATCACCCAAATGGATCGTTGTCCGTCAGACACCATGTAAAAGTCCTGGTAAACACTTCGAATCGGTTCTTTGCCTATGACGCAGTCACAGTCGCCAATGCGGTGAGTGTGGCTATAATTTCAAGTCTGGTCGCTACGATAATGCACATCGCAGTGCGTACGGCCCCAAAAGTTCGACTACCACACCTTGCACTTTTCACGAGGCACGTGTAAAAACAATGGTTGTCTTGCTGCACGAGCGAGTTCTTCTTCGCCTTGCTGTCTTCGCCCAAATCTCCCCAACTTTGTACTTGTCGAAGCGTTGCGTTCCTTGACCTCGTTTGCCATGGTCTTTACACTTATTCTTCCAAAGAAGCCCCACTGACTGAAGAATGCTCAACGCACATGTTGTTCACAGTGCACACATCGTTTTGGTCTGGTCAGCGAAGTCAAAGTACTGCAACGCTAGGCCGTTGGCCTTTTCCAGACTTCCCGATGTGAAGTCAACTGAACATGCATGCTGAACGCAGTCGGCGTTTCCGCAAAACTTATAATGGCACATGATTGTCCAAGTAGTATGTCGACGACTACAAGAAATCAACCTCAACACTAAAGGATTAAGCTATCTCAACAAGCCGCTTGCATGCGAGGGTCACCATACTCCTTTTCCATCATTACGTGCCTGTATATGCAGTTGCAAAAGCACGAACGAGCACCTTACACATCCATGTATGTAATTATGTTAATATCCTCCAAGTGAGCACACTTGGAGCAAGTGTGTGACCGCGAATGGGTTGTACCAATCACGATTTTCAAGTAGATGCAGCTTTCACACTATGTTTTCGCCATTGTCACGCCTCGTTTGCAGATCTGAAAGTTAAAAAAGCCTTGGGACACATGTGCACTCGCCTCAACTCAGCATACGACTTTTCCAAATACCAAGGAGATGAGATTGATAAGTATGACATCAAGAAGCGATAACGATATTTTCATCCGCAAGGTTTACGACTTGGCCGAGCTCAACGAAAGCTGTCAAGCGCTTAAAAGTCACTTGATTAAGCTTGATCGTGAAACTCCCTTGTCCTTGATTGACCATGACAAGGCCTAGGAATCCAAAGTATCTGCATTTTGTTGTAGTATAATACTTACTGGTGAGTTGCTTGATCAAGATTCATAAGGATTCGATTGGCACGATTGTCGTCTTTTTTCATTGACCTTTGTTGTGATACGCATAATGATGTCGATTGATAGCAAGCCGTTCAAATTATTATTGCCTATTTATTACTCTTGACTCGTATGAGAATTGCATCCATATACGGCGTTATGCATAGTATACAACAGACATCAAGTGGCACGAGTTGTAGTCTCACTAGTGCGACCTGCAAGATCTAATCACGAAAGGTCGTGAATGATGCGCACGCTGTATCAGATATGCCCGAATGGGTGGTTGAGGTGTAAGCACGGGCGATGCGATACTTGTATGAGTGCGTTTGTACACTACTTTTTGCTCTTTTAATCGTTCTTAAGTTAACGTAACTTCAGTGGTTTGTGCAATCAAAGTCATTGGGTTGGGTAATGTACACCAACATGATGATAGAACTTTATTACATATTGGAAAAAATCCACGGTTAGGTATGGTAGGTAACCTAAAAAATCAACCTTGTCTAAACTTTCAGAGCCACGTAGTTCTGTTGTTAAGGTTGGTTTAGAAAAAGAACATTCATCACCAAGTCCAGTTCCGTCAGACACATTTGCTTAACGTATTCTTCACCACAGTGACGTTGAAGTGTTGAGAGTCATGTGGTGCACATGATCCAGGTAGTCTTCAATTGTGTTTTGTGCAACCAATGCGATCGATCCTCAGCACCAATCTATTGTAAATCCGTCAACTCCAAGCATCATCGCAAATATAAGACTAACCCATCAATCGGCCCCTCCATCGCAGTTCTTTCACACCACAGTTTAATATAATGGTAGCCATATCTAGCACTTACAAAGAGCGCTTCAAAAAACATAGCTACTTTAAACAAAACAAAGCGAAACTGCCTGAGTTGAAGGCAGCCAAGCAGCGACAGTATATTAAGGTCAGTATGGGCCATTCAGATACCTAGTCCAGTGGCTGCATCATCGCAGCACTCGACTCTTTCGGTTCAGAAAAAGAAGGTCATTTGTGTCTGTATTACTTCTTCGTCCTATCGACATTCGGTGCTGGGTGTCGATTGGTGGTTACCTCTTATAGAGGTCCGTCGTCCCTTTTTTTACATCCACAGCGTATAAGAATCTGGCGCTCACTATGTGGAGTCAGTCATCTGACGAGAGAGAGAGAGAGAACTGGCCCCTCTCGCTCTCTCTCCCCCTTTCTCTCTGTTCTCGACGCTGGAAAGTCGATCCGCGACAAAACCGTTCCGATTTGTCAAAAGGAAAGAAAGAGCTCGGAAGCAGACGAACGTACCGAGCAGTCAAGCCGTACGTACGTTCAGTAGTTCTTAAGTCCGCCAATCCACTGACTGTCAGTCTGAAAACTCGCACAACAAGAAAGCAACACACAAGACGCTTTCACATTCAGCCCATAAAAAAAAGAAAGAGCGACTAATAATTGTCATTGTCTCGCCCTCTCTTTCTACTCCTACTACTACTTCTTCTTCTTTCTCTCTCACACACACAATCTCTTCCCGTGATAAAAAAAATGAGTGCCAACTCAGATCGAAGGTGGAGTCTTGCACGTGCTACGGAGTTTTTCAGTGGCGATGGTAAACCCGATATGTACGTATAATTATTGACTGACTGTCTGTCTGTCTGTCTGTCTCTGTATATTTCCCTCCCACCCTCTTTCCTCCAACCTCCCCTGTCGCTTTAAACATACTTATAAACATTTGGTCTCTTCTTCTCATGTCTTTCTATCCATTCTCTCTCTATATGTTTTTAAACTATAGGTTAGATATTCGTGGAATGACTGCCGTGACAAAAGGTGCAGCTGGAAAGCGTGATAAGTTTCGTAAAAGCGTCTCGCGCTGTGGTGTCTCTATCTATGGTCCCAAGCATTCAGCAGCTGCTTCAGCATCTTCTGGTGATGCATCAAGTCGCGAGAAAGTGTTTATTGAAGATCCACGTGCACCGTGTTTAAACATTGATTATTCCAACGATGCGTATCGATCTATTGCCATCCTCGGAAAAGTTTTCAGCTCATACGGGCGTGTGTCAGATCCTTGGTACCAAGTGCATTCGTGGTGGAAAACATCGTATTCGTGTAGGTGATATTATTCGCTTTGGAAGCGTAGGACTACTAGTAACGGAGATTGATACGGGTGGCGTGGGCACGAATGATGCGACACTGAGTCCATCTGAAGTGAATAGTCTTATACAACGTGTTGTATGTCATGATGAAGTAATGGCGGATGTGGATAGTGGAATGGACACGGACGATGAGAATGCTGATGCATCTGGTAATGATGAGTCCAAACCACGTTCATCACTACAGAGACAAAGTACAAGTGCTATTTGTTATGTGTGCTATGATGAATCAGAAGACGAGAATCCACTTATTGCACCATGTAAATGCTCGGGTGATACCAAGTACATTCATTTGAATTGTCTCAAGCGTTGGAATACGAATGGAGAAAAGAATGAAATTTGCACAGTACTGGATGAAAGTAATGCGCGGACGTGTTCGATTTGCAAAGCCCCGTATCCAAGCAAGACGCGACTACCTAATGGCAAAGTACTGTCGTTGTTGCCAGATCGCCTGAATCCACCATGCATTATGTTCCAGGTAGTGACGAAACACTCGTCCTCGACACTCAACTTGTCGACACGCTACCAGTTGAGCTACAAAATGCTCATGAACAATGACATTCATCGCCCACTTATGGTCGGACGCTCGTCACAGTGTGATTTGGTGCTCAAGTACCGCACGGTATCGACGATTCATGCCGAGATCCACTACTCAAAAGGCGAGTTTCTTCTCAAGGATGCTGGGAGCTCGAACGGCACGCTGAGATACATCTACCGTCCGCTGACGTTGCACAACAACCAATCTTTGCACGTCAAGTTTGGACGAACCGTATTATCCATCAAGCCAACGAAGAAGATTCGTCTTCCGCATTTTTTTGGCACAGCAGGCCACCTGCATTCCAGCGGCTCACGACTTGAAGATAGTGGTGCGCAAGAGGACGAGATGTCCAACACGTCCACCCCACGTAACAATAGAATCCGATACTACAACCAGGCGGCGCAGCAACAGGTACCAGTGATGCCGACGCAACAGCAGCAAGCAGCACGCCAGAATCTGCAGACGCAGATGCAGAACTTAGACCTGTAATGTTGCCTAATGTGCGCGCTTGTTGGCATGACCGGATTTCGTTTGCGTGAACTTTCTTTTCCCGTCGCAATTGGCCGAGCCGCTCTTGTACCATCATGACCTTCAAGAGCCGATGCTTGGGATATCGACCACCTCGGCACTGAATTGCTTCGACTTTTTGTGCCTTTGTGTTAATTACTTATTCCACCCACCAACGACCACGAGAGAAGAGAACATCAGAGAGAAAAACTTGCAGCAGAATAGTAGTAATGGCCGGTAGCAGAGCAGTCAACCGAAGTGCTGTCTTGTGAATGAAGTGACCACGCACGCGTGAATGAAGAATTGGAAAACATCAGAAAAAATTGAGCCTGTAGGACCACCGACGTTTGCCTAAGGTTGATGGTTGTGTGTTGCTAGAAAGTGACCGGTTGAGCAGTGAAGCTGAAAATGCTGAGGGAAGGTTGGCAACGACGCGTAGCTGGGCCAGTACGTTAAGAGCATTTATATATTCTACATTGTATTTTGAAGTAGTAAGAGTTTGCAAGATTGGACTTTGCTTTAACATCACAAGAATTATTTGGCATTTGTATTTGAGAACTTGGAAGGATGCTCAATCGTCCGCCATATTCGACTCGAGCACTCCAATGGCCATAGACTGCAGCATAGCCTGCTGGAATCGGGCAGCTAAGGCAGGATGCGCCCTTTGCATCCGTGCGTAGTGAGACTTGCTTAGAAAAAAAATAGAGCTGGGAGATCTAGCTTGTGCAGTAAATTGATGACGCTTGTGTAGAATCATCTCCGACGCGCCTACCAAACCTCCCTGGCACACTCGTGTAATACGCTTGCGGCCACGAAAGCCCGGTCCCAAACCTTCATAAATTTTAGACGGCATGAATACGTCCACCTTGCCGTAGCCAATAAAATAGACACCGTTGACAAGACCACCGGCACGATACAGCGTATCGCCTTCCTGCTTTATCAAATGCGTTACGTACATTTCACCGAGATCCCGTGTAAGCACAACACTCTTCTCATCGCTGTCGCTAGGCTGCAAACCATCAGAAACAGATTTGTCGGTGTTGCCCTGGTACCGATCTGGACGAGGCAAGAGTTCGTCTAGCAACTGCCAGGGCTGGCCGTCGTTTCCACCATTCATTGCCAATGCTGGCGCAGATTCACTAAGTGGCAGCACGCCTTCTGATACTAGCAGTTCATCCTCACACCATTCCAAAGCCTTATCCAATGTGTCAAACACAAGTGATCCCGTTCCTGACCCGTCCTCCTTCTCAATTACATCATGGACGCGCAATAATCGTTCAGCATCCGTCGGCACGCTTGCAAATATAAGCGTGATACCGTGCTGAGCTAGCAGTTCCTTTGTGGCGTTAAAGCAACTTCGCACAGCCGTGGCATCCACACCGCTCACCTTCTCAAAGTCCAAGATAAAGTACCTCGTACGAGCCGCATGAAGTGCAGCCGGTCCGTTTCTTCCAGCGGCCTTGGGTGTTGACGAGTAGCCGTGAATTTCGTGGTCATCAAAAACGGAATCTAGCGTCGTAAGGTCATCGTTGAAGTGGTCCTCCAACGAACGAGCTACATATGGCGAGGGTTGGTGTCGAGACAAGAAGGGTGACGAATCCGAAAGTGAGCACGTTTGAGCCTCCTGCTTCTCTGTGGTGGTCACCAACACATGACGACGTACTTCATCCATGACTTTCACACTTGAACCAAAGAAGATGTACCCTTCTAGCTGCAGCGTGACAATAGACATGCGCATGTTTTGAAGCAGCACACGTTCGTTAAGGTTACGCTCGACACGCGAACGCTTCATGACGCGGTGAACACTAGAAGTCGCAATGTACGAGTAGATAAAATTGAAGCCAGCAATGATGATACCAACGACAATGCCCAATTCAAGGTTCACAAAGGCCATCGTCAGAAACGTAAGCCACACGATACCATACTCGCGTGGAAGGAGCTTATTGCGAGCATGCCAGAGCCACTCGATCATGAGATCAAGACACACAAGCATCTGCAACGCACCGAAGAAGACCTTGGGTACGTAGGCAATGATTGAGAACGGGCTTAGTACAACAACAATCTCAAGAAAGAACACAACGATACCGACGTAGCGGCTATCGAGCCTACCACGCAGTGTAAAGATCGTCTGTGAGAAAAGGTAGGATCCAGTAAAGCCACCACCGAGACCCGAAAGCAAGTTGCTAATACCTACTGTTTGCAGTTCATGGTTGTGATCCAGAGGCTTTCCTAGCGCTGTCTCAACGGCAGCTACGTCGAGAGATGACGAGAATGCCACGACAAAGTACATGGCAACCCACGTCGGAATCTGATCCGTCAAATGCGAGAAATTGATCTTGGAAAAGTCATAGAAGCCGTAGATTTGCATGAGAGAACGCGGCGATGGTGGAGGCTCCGCCACCCATCCAGCAGCACGAGCATCATCAAGAGATGAGCCCGTGATAAGTAGCAACCCGTAGAATGTAGTCAACATTACCGTCAAGCAGCAAGGCATCACAGCCATATGGTTCCAGCGTGAGTTGATCCAAAAGATAGCCGTGCCGGCAATGACGCCCGGTGCAGACAACAGCAAGACATTCCAGTCAGCCAGTTTGATCCAGTCGGAAGGCTGCTTGATACTTTGCGTGGTCATCATGGACAAACCAGCTTCCATAGAATAGAAGCCAATAAAGGCCAGGTAGCCACCGACCACTGGCATAGGCAGGTACTGCACAAAGCTGGCTAGACGAAGCTTGCCTGTAACGATAAGCGCCGCACCCAGGGCGGCCGTAGAAACGGCCATAGTAAAGAGTGTCGTGGCCAGCACCTCGTCCATTGAGAACGCATCGCCTCTCATGTCGTGCAGTGACTTGATGATGGACGAAGCCATGGCCGAGAGGAAGATCAGACCTGCATCTTGTACTTGGCCCATGGCAAACGGCAGCGAACTGACGCACGTGAAGCAGATTTGGTGGACACCGGCCGATACAAGCACGAGTTTGACTAGGTCGTTCATGTACGGCTGGAACTCTGGGTCACGAAAAATGATCTGCGCAAAACTGATCATAAGCGGTACCAAAATGACCGTATTGAGGACACCGTACACACCGATCTTAATGTTCCGCTCCGTGGGGCTGAGCAGCTGTTCATGCATTAGCAATGACAAGTTCTCCTCCACGTCCATTGCTACGTCGTCCAGTGTGGACGCAGCCGCACCGGGGCGATGTGGATGATACGAATGACGAGGTGTTTTCATGCTTCCACCAAAGAGCGGCGGCATCCCCCCCGCGGAATGACAGGGTCGAGCTGCCATCGTATGTGCGATTGATAGTCCCGGCTGGAGACTCTGGCAGCAAGAGACTCCCAAAGACACGGCGGCGCGTGCGCGGCGTCCGCGCCGTAGCACCCGTGCTGTCCATACCGGAGCAAATCGAGAAGTGTGATGCGACTGACGAGTTCCAACCGTTTGTCTATCCAAAATCGGCAGAGGCGGTCGGCCGTCTTTCTTGGAACCACTTGATGATCACTAAAGTTCCTCCCGACGGCATATTTGTGTATGAGTGGGCGGTTTGCTGCAGCCAGCGCATCATCATGGACACGTGAGAACTGCGCAGATGCATGAAAAATTGCCGGCCGCACGTCTCAAATTGCAGACGCCACAGATACTGGCTTGTACAGGGTAGCGAAGATAGGCCATGTGTGAATAATGGAACTTGTATGTAGCTTCACTTTTTCCGGTGGCTCAGCTGCCGCGAGACAGTTACTACAGTTAGAGCCGAGCCAAGCTGGAATCGTCTGTCCTTGGACGAGTAAAGATTGACGTTGAGGATTAGCCTGACGGTCCATTTCGTTGGTGCTGGGTGCTGTTGCAGTCATGGGCACAACTTTATTTGCAGACGGTGAACTGTAGCGACAGAGATTGATACACATTAACGACTCATGCGTTCCACCCTGCACGCTGTCTCAAACCTCGGACAGTAAGTCGCAAGATATGAAATGCATGGCCGCGTTCTAGTCTGCTCTTGGATGACTGAAGACGTGGTTGCACTATCCATGCATTTGTCGTGAAATAGAGCACTAACGACGTAGCGGCGCGGAGGTAGAGCAGGCCTTAGAGATGTCCTAATGCGCTGAGATCGGTGATCTTGTTTGAACAAGGCCGATCGCACCGTGCTCTATGGCCCGTGACCTCACGAAGCGGCTACGCTGCTATTTAACTACCACTTGTTTGCAAATGGTACGTCTTACGTCGTAAGCGCTACTCAGTGGCAAGTTCATGACGGATGCCTTTGCTGGGCAAGAATTTACGACTACTACTAGACGATCAAGAAGGCTCACCATTGGCAGAGCCGACATGGTCGAGAATAAAGTGCTCATGTGCTTGCAGGAGTCATGTAGCTGGTGTAAAATGTATCAAGGCCGACATTGTTTGATGCTAGAGATGTGAGCTCGAGATACGATCATGTGATGGAAAATCGTGGCAGATACGATCGACAGATACAGCAATGCCACTGTAGCTTGAAGACCACAAAGTGTCAACAACCTGTATCAATTTGCGGTGATAGAAGTCACTAGAAAAGTCTTGGATGAAGCTGTTGCTCTTCTAGGACTTGGTGATACAATCCACTAGCTTTGACTACAAGTTCGACCGACAAGCCCACTCTTACGCCACTGACTAAAACGTGAACCACACGATCATCATGTCACCACAGAAGTGCACCATATTAGCTAATTGCTGGAATCGATTAATTGATTCGTGCAGTAAACCTTAATGATGAACCCTACCGAAAAGAGCTACAGAGCCGACATTTTCATGTCCAATCCAACCCTTTGATCTTCACGCAGGCATTTACAAGACTAGAGATCACGCAAATAGCGTCACGGTCATGTTGATCGATACTAACGGTAAGAAGCAATGCTTTCGTAGCTAGATCCAGTCCGAAAGGTGACGCGAGATGAGCGGGTCCAAATATCTAGCAACGTTCTAGCTAGCGTCTGCTTTGATTGATCCTGTTGTGGACAAACGGGGCATGCTTTTGCTCCTGACAATTCGAACAAGAGAGAAGGTGGTACGCCTTATAGAAGCTATTAGACCTAACAAAGCATTGCTGTAATAATTCATGTGTGCTATCTACTAGACTCGAACGATCGAGCTTATGCGAAATCTATGAAGTAGCACTTACGATTCCTTCCTATACAAAGCTATACGAGCGCCCAATCGTGCGATGTTTTAGCTCTAGCAAGTGTAGTTTAGGCATTATAAAGTAGCTTCAACATTATACCTTTTCTTTCTGTCGTGTACCCACCTTTTCGTCTTGACAAAACTAACGCCATCGTACACTCAAGCAATGGCAGTAACAGCTGCAGCCAAGGCGATCACTACGCAAGCGTCTACCATCACGAGTATATCTCTTCTATCAATGCAATTACGCTCATCTTCTTCATGAGATCATAACGTTTGTTCTAATATCTAAAAATCTGTATATTATCCCGTGTATTCCACAGACAACTCGGACGAAGAGGAAGTCACAACGGCTGAATTTTCCGTCGACTTGACTGACAATCAGACGTGGGCAATTAACTTTTACGAGTGTGCAGCTGAAGGAGATCTTGAGTGTCTTGAAGAAATTCTTGATAGTGACCTTGTGGGAGTGAATGACGTTGATGTGGACGGTTTTACGGCTCTTATGGTGGCAGCAGCTGAAGGCCATCGCAACGTGGTCGAGACACTACTACAGCGTGGCGCTGACATCAATATTTGCACCCATGAGCTTCGTTCTACTGCATTGCATTTTGCTGCAAAGGTAGAGAGAGAGACAAGTGCACATTGATGTGGTGTTTTCATGGAGCGTGTAGCTAAAACCTTTGGGCTCTTTTTTTACTGCAGAGTGGAGACGCAGAGATTGTAAACGCTCTGTGTGAGGTTGATGCGAAGGCAGTGGACGCTTGGAATGTTAATGCAGACACGCCATTGATTTGGGCGTGTATTGAAGGCTGTGCAGAAGCTGTCAAGGTGTTGCTGAAACATGGAGCTAATGTCAACGTGCTGAACCAGTACGGCGCGTCGACGTTAATGTGCGCCGTGATGATGGGAGAAGACTCGGAGCAAGAAGGCATAAAAAGCGATAAACAACGAGCTGAGATTTTGACCATGTTGTTGGAAAAGAACGGGAAGTTAGTGAACTTTCAGGACCGCGAAGGCAGCTCAGCAATGCATTTGGCTGCGTCGTGTGGATACTTGGAGTGTGTTAAGACGTTACTTGCGTTTGGTGCGGAGATTACGCTGCGAAACGTGATCGGGCAGACGCCATTGGAAGAGGCGCAAGACTCGGAGCTGCGTGAAAGCGGGCCATGTGTAGAGTACTTGCGTGGTATTTGGCGGCAACTTGAAGAGGAGGCAGCGGCTCGGATGATGGCGATGCTAGAAATGGAAGAAAAGGCAGATAAGAGTGCAAGTGGTGGTGCAGGTGGACCGACCGTGACTGCAATCAGTAAGAAAAGCAAGAAGAAAAATAAAAAAGCCAAACGTAAGGCGGCAGCTAAGCAGCACCAGCAAGTACGGCAAGAGGATGACCCGGGCCCGAACTATTCAAAAGATAATCTGATGGAGCAACAAGACAGCCATGAATGTAAGGTTGTGTCTACTATGCTAGAACCTGTGGTCGTCGCATCTACTGCTGAGCCTGATCGTGGCACCCCGACGGTGAATAGCACTGTTCCTGAAGCGAAGGATGATAAAGCAAGTTCTGCCAGCTCCGATGAGGATGAGGATGCGCCAGTCGGAAACTCAGTTGTGTCATCAGGGAGCGATGATGATCGTGGAGGACACAATCTAGAAGACAAGATGAGCGACTCAAGCAACATGGACGAACAATTTGCTCAAGAGGTGGAAAGCGAAGCTACGCCATCGGCTGGTGCGTGGACTACCGTTGGCAAGAAGCACCGGTCTGCCATTGCAGCAATCACGAATACCTTGGTGGTGAGAACACCAACCAGCTTACCGCATGAAAAGATGCCACTATCGACTGTTACAAGGCAAAAGTCTGCACCAATTTCCCCTTTTACAGCTCCGCACGCGTCTCGACGGAACTTCAATCATGGATTAAGCAATGTTCGGGAGCGAAGGCCGACTAGTGGACATACATTATCCTTAGCTTCAGCACCATCTATCATTCAGCACAAAGGCGCTAACGCAGATGTGCCAGCCAGAAAACATGAGAGGCGCTGGGGAAAGACGAGTGTCTCATTTTTAGAGTCTCGATCGATCTTATCATCGTCGCTGCTGAACCCCGACGCTCTGGCCTTTGGATCGGTTGGACTGACAACCGGGTCAACTGAAACGTCAAACGTATCATCATGTGCGGAAACTAGTGGAAGCAGATTTCCGACTTCTGTTACGTCACCGTGGCGTTCACCCTTCTATGGTTCTTCGCCTGCTTCATGTACCGCAGCTTCTTCGTCGTCAGTAGCAGCAAGTTTACATTACACAGGGGTCGGGCATCTAACGTGGAAGCATCAGCGTGCCAATGGTAACCACCAAGGTGCACGTGAGACTCGCGATCGATGGGTCAGCAGATTACGACTTAGCAACGAAAGCGTTGCTGAGACTCTGGGTTATCTGGCCTGCGGTCTATGTGGTGAACTTGTGAATGATAATTTGCAATGCAACGGTGATATGTCCAGCAGAACTTCTGACGGGAAGACCTCCTCGATATGTACACAACTGTACTGTGCATCCTGTTTAGAGTCGCCGGCATTTCGGGCAGCTAATACGGCCCTGTTCAAGTGCGTCAGATGCCACGAAGTGATTTCAAAAGACACCATGACCTGCAACAGCTTTGCGCAGGCCCAAGCTGCGTCACTAGGTCTCTCTATGCCAAACTCAGTAAATGCTAGGAATCAAGACGATATACGTCGCTACACTATGGAAAACATGCAGCGTGTCTTGGAGGTCTCGGATTCACGGATCTCTGCTGTGGATCTGCATGCATTCCATTTGGTTCCAGGATCAGATCTCAGTACGTTGAGCAACGGCCAGCTTGAAGTGCTGGAAAGTGTCCATCAGCTAGCTCTCGTACAAATCGTTGAGCAGCGCCTCGCAAATGCGCGTGCGCTTGAGCGTCTACAAATGGAAGAAGGGTTGAAGATGCAACAGGATGTACTGCAGTTTATTCCGCGATAGACAGACGACTTAGCAATAACTCTACGCAAGACATGATGACATAGAATAGATAGGTACACTGCTGCGTTGCGGTAATTAGCGTTAGTGCCGTGTTGGCGGACATTCGTCGTAGTATATATTGTCGCCATCGCTACGAAGAAAGTTGTCATTCTCATCTCCGCCACAAAGATTCTGTAGCATACGAAGCTGCCTTTCAGCTCGCTCGCGTTGCATGGCGGCAGTTTTCTCGTGAACCTTGTCCAGGAGATAGCGGAAAGCTACCACAAACCAATCCCGTTGGTGTTCATTCATCGCCTCAATATCCAGCGATCGTAGCGCTGTCACTAGAGAGAAACAGTGTGATGCCTTGGACGAAGACACCAACCCAGCCGCTCGAGCTCTAGCAAACACAGGTGTCCGGTGACCTTCGTGCACTGTGACGATTTCGTCAAGTTGAAGCGAGTCTCCGCTACGACCAAGCCATGACACCTCGCCAAAGCGATCCACAAACACACGCGTCTTGTGCGGTCGTCCTTTGCGGCCAAACTTCCAGACCGAGAAGGTTTCCATCCGCTTCATTATCGTAAGCTCTACTTGCTGCGACACACGTCGCTCGTGATCGTGTGCGAGGTCCACAAGAAACTCCAGGCTACGCTGCAGCCACTCGCGTTCTTCGGCAGACTTTGCCTTGAGATCGAGCGTACGTGTATGCGTCACCACAGATAACGTACACCCTGCGTCGGCTGAATCAAGTGTGCCTTTGTGCAGTGCCCGAGCAAGTACACTTGTGGAAAGACCGGACGAAACTCGGATGATACTAGCTAGCGGAATGGCGTTTTTCGCCTTGACTCGCTTCTTACCCATCGTCGTCGTAGCTGCCACACTATCTGCAGCAATATGCGTGGCATGAGCCAGTAGCTTGGATGTCCAACGCAGCGTGTCACCGTTCTCCACGCATAGCGTCGTTGCATGAGGTTTTCCCTTCCGGCCAAATTTGACGACATGTGTGCCAGAGACACACTGTAATGCAACGCGATATTCCGTCATCTTTCGTTGCAGCGTCACGTCCAATATCTTTTTCTGTTCTTGTCGAGCTTGTGATTGACTCTGTACATAAGCACAGATGGTCCACTTGATTGAGACAGCCGACCGCAGTGAGATCCGCTTCTCCAAACGTGCCTTGTGCACAATCTGAAGGAAATAAGCAGCCCACTTGGTAGCTCGAATCTCAAACTCGAGTGACATAATCAGATCGCGTATGTAGCTCTTGGAACGTCGAGGACTCACCACATTGCACGTTACGCGCACATCAGCCATGAGATCTCGGGGAAAACATGAGAGGAACTCATCCACTGAGGTCTCGTCCCATGCTTCACATGTCTCGAAGCTTGACCCAAACGCTTGTGTCTGGGATTCTAAGGATGAGTCAATGGATGATACTCTCCGACGACTGAGATCATCTTGGTTGCGATCGAGAACTAAAGCCAAGTTCTGTCTACGTTCTCTACGTAGTGAGGATCCAGACGATCGAGACGAAGACGAGGATACGGACGAAGACCTAGCCGAATATTGCAACGACGATGAGCGAGATGAACGTTGTGGGAAGACACCAACGCAAGGGACCGAGGGCGCGTCACGTGCGACTCGACCTGAAGATTGACATAATTTGACATCGGCAGGGCTCTTCTGTAAAGTTTGATCATCCTCTTCACTGCTGCTAAAACTTCTATTCCTGCTCTGATGTTTCGACCTCCGGTTCTTTGGCTTGGCAATTTTAATGCGAACAGTACAGCATTTGTCTTCATGGACTTGTGAGTCATGTTTTTTCTGAAAAAAGGCCAAGAACCTGGACGTTGAGGAAGATGATGAAGTGCTAGCAATAGACTCAACCATCTTAGCTTTGCGAGTTAACCCCATGACACGTCGACGTTTCCTAGCTATTGAAAACACTTACAATATGAAAGATGTCTCTCTCTCTCCTGATGTGCTAAATGCAAAGTGCCGGCCTAAAGAAGCAAACACATTTCAGTACCGCTGAACTTTTTCTTCTGCATAGGTGACCAGCGAGTAACAACTTGACCGATGCATAGAGTTGGCTGGTAAGACTGTCTGTACATATACATTTGACTGCTACATGCATGGATGGAAACGGTAGTATATACGAGTAAACCCTCATAGTACACAAAGGTCTGTCTGTATTTTCAGCAAAGTCGTGTCTCCTGTTTCACTTTCAAGTGGTTTAGTTCATAACATGCTTTTGTTCCAGCAAGCGGTAGTAACCGTGGGCCACGTGCGAGTCTTTGGATTTTCCCCATACTTGGAGCACTGACCACCTCCGTAGTCCGACTTTGCAGGGCTGGCTATCGCGTGACGTAGCAATCGAAAGACGAGGCTTTCCCACTTTCGACGAGATACCCTCGTACTGTCGTCTACGATATCAAATCAGAGCACCAAGTCGAGACAAATAAACGAACAAGTCGATTCACGTCTAGAAAGCCTTCGTACCAGAGAGAGATCCGTTCGCGGATCTGAACCTATTTGACTGACCTTTGCCACACCTGAGTCAGAGATTCTTATCTTATCATATCATTCTGCATACGACGATGATAATGATGATCAGTCCATCGGAGTGAAATCGTCATGTTCATTACCTTATCACACAGTCAAACACTCTGAAAATTTCATTGAAAGACTCAGACATTTCAACTCGAAGATTAGTCCGATCAAGAACGTATTCATACGAGGCCCATCGGATCTTTTTCTTTCTTCTAAGAACTCAATGGTCATGTAAACTTTGTGGTGAGTCACGTGCTCACCGGCTACCTCAGTAACGGTGAAATTCAGTATAACGGCATCGTATGGAATGAAAACAAAGGCAAATGCCGTTCATATACATCAATTTTACTTGCTCGGTGGAGACACGTTCACTGTTGCTTCGAGAGGATCCAAGACCCCGCTGTTTAGAGACTATCGGAACCAGCAGCTTCTACATACTATTTTGTTTTCAAACACTAGATAACCGAGTAAGCGCAATAGTTCCAGAGCATGATGACCTCAATGAATGTTAGAAAAAGAAAAGAGAAATGCCTCTCTGCATTCTTGAAGTTCGACAACACCGCAGGGAGAACACTCGATTACTCTGCCTTCCAATTCCTTTCAGCGGGCATTTGACGTACATGCATAGCAAGGATAACAATGTATAATTGTTACAGAAGACATAGCTAAAACTACCTTATGCAAACGTCTATTCCGTGGACAGTCGATTACGCTTCATTATCATCGCCCACATCTGCAATCCTCACTTCCTTAGATGGTACGCTGTGATACCCTTGCCAGTATAACACTCTGTAGTGACACGCATATTGGCAGGAGCGAGCAAGGGTGAAACCTCTTTCAGTTTATCATGACGGGAGCAGGTCTCTGCGCGTGTGCTGCAGCATGAATTTATCAATACCAATGCGATATCTGGAATCTATGTGATTTCTACGGCGTATGTAAGAAGACACTCTTTCAGCCATGTTTGCAAGACCTCTATGGCATACTTACCGAGCAAGTCAAGGCGACAAGCTTACAAGACCAATATCTAGTGATGGCAGAAACGCTTTGCAAGACACGAACCAATTGAAGCGAAAGATGGGGATGCTGCAAAGTATTTGTATCCTGCAGTCAGCCCAACTCAAAACACGCGACTGCAAAGGCGTTCAAGATGGTATGTACGGGTGGATCATGTCATTTCTGGTGAAGGGTGTTAGCGAGCAGATTGCATGAGATCTCGATCCGGCAAATCTGACTGACCTCGACGAGAGGTATACTATGCGATGTGCAAAAGTACTTTGGCCCATTCAAAAAGAGCAAAGGCATTACTGTGAATAACTGCTTGCTAATGGTGAGGTCGTGATATTGGATCTCAATCACGGAGTGATTGCTGTAAATGACGCCAAAGCTTTATATTCTAGCATTAAACTGATGAAAGCGTGGCAACGCTTTGACGTTCTACACTATTATGCACAATTGGGTATCCATGACACGCCGTCTCAGTGACTGTTAGACGAAGGAAGGTGCCATAATAACCCGTGGTAGGCATTCAACATTAACACGCGATTCCTCCTTTGATATTCTCGCCCTATTCCAAGAACATTCGCGTGAAGCTATTCACTTCCAGCTTCATTCTTTATCATTGTCGATGTGATCGTCCCGTGCGATACAAACATTCGTGAGTGCGTTCAATAAGCATCGCACTGCTTAGCTTCGTACAAACACTCACATATAACTGACACATATGCAACCCTCCTGCGCTCGCAAAATTGCTTGGGCTTATGCAGTTTTGAAAGTCACTTGAGTCCCCTCTTAGTGCATATCAATAGAGGCGCAAACAGGACGATGTAAAACTGCATAACAGCTGCGTTGCCAAAGCGTTATATGCAACGTTGTCGTATTGCGTTGATTGGATTAGGAAATGGTAGTGAGTTACCACCAAGAGAGATTAGATTCGAACCGCTATGAGATAATGTGTTCCTCCTGATCTAGATACTATCATAACCTGAACTTATGCTATGCTATGCTAATGTCATAAGCTAACGGTTGTCGTGAAGGAATACTGTATATCGATAAAAATGATGATTTGCTGTGGTCTCATCAGTGCATTCATCTTTCGAGTTACCGAAAGGATTTCTTCACTAAAGATCAGAGCAGATCTTGGTATTATAGCAAACATCATTTGAGCCATGACATAAGGTCCTGTAGCAATTGAACAATTGACAAATGAACTTGCTTGATACCAATGTCATTATGTCTTACAGCCAACCATTTTCGGCTCCAATGAGATGACAGGGTATCGTTGGCTGTCACATGAACGATACCTTATTTTCGGACCTGACCAGCTTGAGCCAGGGAGGTATTGATGTCAAGAGTCTTACAAGTGACATACACATGGCTTTTCATTAGCTTTGCGTCCAATCCAACGTTTGACGTGTGCATTGCAGCAAACCTTTTCAAATTCTGAAATAGACAGACATTGGCACGTGATTGTCCCTAAAAACCAAACCACTTCGTGTTCGACTCTTTGGCATGTGCACATCTACGCACGCCACGACTTTATTAGTGGTTGATTCTGTGTGTCCAGCATTCAAGTGTGCTTCTTTCACATGAGCAAAACCAAATGCTACTTCCAATCGTAGACATTTGCTTACGCCTCAAATTCCACACCAATCTTGACCTGCTCCGCCTGTGCGACAATATCGGCAATCTTGACAGCCTTCTCCGCAGCGTCCTCCAGGTCGTCGGCGACAATCATCTTAATGCCAGACTCAGCAATTATCTTGCGTGCAGGCTCCACGTTAGTGCCCTGCAGACGGATAATGACCGGCTTCTTCAAACCCAGGTCCTTCGCAGCAGCCACGATGCCAGCAGCAATTACATCACAACGCATGATACCACCAAAAATATTCACCAAGATGGACTTGACCTGGTCATCGCCATCCAAGATCTCAAAAGCCTTCTTTACCTGCTCCTCCGTAGCACCTCCGCCAACGTCAAGGAAGTTGGCGGGTGAGCCACCGTACAGCGAGATAATGTCCATAGTAGCCATTGCCAGACCGGCTCCGTTCACAAGGCAGCCAATGTTACCATCCAGGCCAATATAGTTGAGGTCATATGCACTGGCCTCCACCTCACGCAAATCCTCCTGGGTCTTGTCGCGCATGGCAAAGATCTCCTTGTGACGAAAGGCGGCATTGTCGTCGTAATTCAGTTTGGCATCGCAAGCAAAGATCTCGCCCTCTCGGGTCTCAGCTAGTGGGTTAATCTCCACAAGCGTCGCGTCGACGCCAATAAACATGTTGTACAAGTTCTTAATCTGAGTCTCCAACTTCTTAAGAACCTCACCGTCACCTCCCAAAGCCTTGGCGAGACGCGAGACCTGCTCGTCCGTGGGGCCAGTAGAGATGTCGACAACTTCTTTGAAGATAAGCTCGGGCGTGGCCTCAGCAACGTCTTCAATGGAAGTTCCACCAGCAGGTGAAGCAACCATCACAGGGCCCTGGGATGCACGATCCATAAGGATTGAGAAGTACATCTCACGACGCATCCATACACGCTCCATGAGAAAGACCTTGGCAACCTCAATCCCCTTCTCACCCGTCTGTTTCGTAACAAGTGTCTCGCCCAACATTTTCCTGGCCAACTCCTCAGCCTGTTCAGGTTTCGTACACATGTGGACACCACCTTTAAATCCATTCTTAAATGTACCCAGACCACGTCCACCTGTCAGTGCCTGTGCCTTGATAACAACATCCACACCCTCTACATAAAATCAACATACATATATATAAAATGGATGTAGATATGTGAATCACACATTGTGTCAAGATAATCAAGAGGTATATCTTCCCTCTCATTATTGATATCACATAATCCTACTACTACTAATAACTATATCCAGATATACAGTGACCCTTACCACGCTCACCACGAATCTTGTGAAATGCAGCTTTTGCTTCAGCTGGTGTATTGGCTGGAATACCTAGAGGTGTTGCTACACCAAAGCCTTTCATAATCTCCAAGGATTGAAATTCATGAAGATTAAGGCGTCGTACTTGCGTACGTTGACACGATGGTAGTGAAATGAGGATTTTTGGATGACGTAATACACGACTAAACATGATGATATCGAGCGATTATAACAGCGAATTAGATCGACTTGGAAGCGGAGGAGAGCGTCTCGAGAAATGAAGGAGAGAAGACGGAGCTCCTCGGCCTCACAGAATGGATGAAAGTACCGTAGTTGGATGAAAGTGTACCCATTTGACATAGGTACACACGGAAAAAGAGGAAGAAACTACCCTACAGTAGGTCTTGTTGCGGAGTTAAACTATAGGCAGTAATCTATATTTGGAAAAAGGTAACTTATATTCATATCTTTAAGTCGTCAATGACATATAAAACTATACACTCGATCTCACTCACTGTATACACCACATCACAATAGGATCGATATACCGGTACTCTACCATCCATACCGGTACATCTCTCATTCCTCTTCAAGCATTTCTCTTACAAGCTCTTCCTGGTCTCCATGTCTTCCTTTAATGCGACACTAGCGGTGTTATTAGCAGCTAAATACTGTCGTCATTATCCGTTATTTCAATGGCAAGAAGAAGCTCTTCCATCCATGGGAAGACGTGCTGAGAAATACTGTTTTCGAGTCAATATGCTGAATTTACAGCAAGAAAAGTGTGGTGAAATGGTCCTATCTGTATTACCAGCGCCCTTGAGTCTATTAGACTTTCAGAAGGACCATACAATATATACATTAAAATCTCTACTTGTAACACTCAAGGTAATGTCGGTTTTTACTGGATTTGATGTTTTCTATTGACTTGATAGGAAGGGTAGAAAAATGTACCCATCTCTCTCTGTGTGTCTATTGTTGTTTGATACTTGTAGCATCCATATATTCTACCGATACTGGACATTTACTACTCCATGGAGAAGAAAGCATTGGTGATTGTCCAGCCATTTATACCGACAGGTAGTCTTAAAGACCGGATCTATCACGTTGATCATCCAACCATGGCTTTTGGTGTGAAATATCGACTGGAAAAGGCTCATCCATTACCTTTTAAAGACATTGCCAAGTATGCACGACAGATTCTTGAAGCTCTAGATGGACTTCGAGGCAAAGGTTTTGTGTGTGATCACTTGAGATCAACCAATGTCATGATTGACAAGGGCAATGCACGACTTGCGGAAATTTATACACCGTTGCTTGCAATCGATCGCTATAAGGACAGTCGAGAACTAACAGTTAGTCTGGAACAAGACATGGACATTGATTTACTGCTCTTTGGACAAATTTTGTATGAAATGGCTACCGGAATGGAATTATTGTGCCCTCAACCAGAGAAAAGTGTGCTGGATATGCTGGCACCGGAAATTGCTGAGGTGCTGCAGGCTATTTTCTATTGTCAAGAGACGATCATTTCACCGGATTCACCACCACATTCATTTGAAGTGGATGGAGAAAGCAAAAGCACGGAAGGTGATGATCTTGCGTCGGTTAGTAGTACAGTTCCTAGTCGCAACAAGAAACACTTGTTTTACGTTGACGTGGAGAAGATGCTGAGAGATTTTCCGCTGTTTAGTGCTGCTCGAGATGTCCCACCGATTCGGACGCTATTCTCTGGATTTCGTCTGGATTCTAACATGAAGAGTACAATCAAATATAGCATGCGTATAAACGCGAGCCGCAGTCACGCACATATGGTGCATTACAATGACCAAGTAGCACTGCAACGGGCTCGTCAACGTGCTGAGCGTCGCGTCTACGAGGAGAAGGAGAAACAGCATCAGCGTCGTCAGCAACTCACCCCGAGCAAGAACCCAGTTAGTAAAGGCAATGCATATAGTAGCAAGACCATGCCGTCCCGACGCAAGACGTACCGTGCCGATAGTTTCCGGAATCATGCCCAACGTACGTTGTCTTTGCCCAGCAGTGATAACTCAAGTACAAGCGCTTCTAATGCCTAGTGCAGCAGCATAATTCTCCGCAGGCATGACACGTACGCTTGCTTATATATCGGCATCGCGTGTGTTATCGACACCAGGTTAAGGTTTATGAACTTCTGCATTGTAGTGTGTTTGGAAGTGTGACATTGTCGTGATCTGAAGAGGCGACGATTCAACATGGCCAAGAAGAGCGGACTTCATTTTCCTTACAATGTTGACGTATGTTAATGCTGGACATAACGCTGATGAATCTTGAAACGGTAGAAGGCAAGTCGTACGTATCGTTCGGTGGCGGTCGACACCTCAATGTCAAGGACAAGGACAAGGACGAGAGCGTAAGGTGGAGGCCATGACGAAAATTGACAAAGATTACAACTAGCTACACTTGGATGTACTGTTGAACTATAGAAACGGTCGTTGGGAAGATTAGTGGATGGCTTCGCTAATAGCGCTGAGCTCTACGTTCATCAATTGTCCGGACGTTATCGCTTTGGAAGGCGCAACATTGTGCATCGACAACACGTTTGACGAGGAAAACACGAAAAGGGTAAAACACAAACGATCATGACGTCTGTAGAGTGCCGCAACACTAAATGCACGTCGTGATGCTCGGAGGTTGATTCAAAAAACAGCCAACACGCGGCTCTTTTGCTTCGATAGCTGCCAAATGGTTTGTCTTCGTTTAAATTGTTCTAACGTTGTAATAGCAAGCTCTCTCCTTATCATCATCACTCAACCTTGTGTTGTCTTGCACTCTTTCAGAATCAAGAACAATTCACACTCCCCAGTATCCACAAGTTCCTGTAAGAATCGGTAGCACTCGCTCTCGTTTTCAAATGGCTAGCAGAGTATATACATCAACAGAACCATTAACCTCACAGGTAGAGAGACATACGCAGATATACGCCACACAACGCACCACTGGAGCCGAAAACTTTGAGTCCAAATTGTAACAAACATCTTGAATCTTACGGATAGCAAACCAGTGTCGCTGTATCCATAGACTACTGAACATTGTCGTCATCATGACGTTACACAGAATTCCTTCCACCTTGTCAAACATGATGACGTTGTCATCCACTCGTTTTCGCTTGTCTACCCATTGCATCACATACCCTACAACAGCATGAACCCAAGTCGTTTAATATCATAGTCTTCCAGTCTCTTCCATCCATCCATCCATCTTCTATCCATCTTCTCCATACAACTAGGAAAAGTTCTTGCTACTTGTGTCACACCTTTTTGCTGTAAAGCTAGAGTCAATGCATTGACATCATAATTACCAAGACCTAATGGAGCTTTGTGTGGGTTCCAGACCCAAGGTATCAATCCATTGGTAGCATCCGGATCAACTCGAGTTCGTAGCTCGTCACATGCATTATCTAGTACCGTTTTCGTAAAGATAGGACCTAGAAAAAGATTGACACAGGAGTTCGTTGGTATAGATAGTAAGAGATCTAGCTAGTACTTGTACATGAAGCTAGTAGATACCCTGGAGTACATTATTAAGAGCATGAAGTCCACAGCGATAGAGTTTTTGGTGCTCATGGTACAATTCTTTCGTCATGTTTTGTTCCAAAACGTCGGACGTCTGTCTTATGATGGAATGACGGACGGACGTTTGTTGATATGAATCAAGGAATCAAAGCGATTGAGTGTGAACGAACGTACGAGGGCTGAAAGTGAATACAATCAGCAGCGCTGCTGATGTGGACGATCAAACTGCTTTGATTTTGTGCGACGACATGGACTGGAGTGGTGTTCTAGCTGACAAAAGACCCAACACGACGCCGACGGACAACTTCATACGACTGCAAGTATATGATCTGTCCGCGTCTTTTCAAAGACCTCAGGGTGCTCTCTTCTCCGCTGGTTACAAGACCAAGAACCTTACACCTTCAGTGTGTGTCCGTCCCATTGCTGCCGCTTCTTACCGATATGATCAAGACTCTGTATGGGCATACGGACTCCATACCCCGTGAATGACATCGGAGACAGAGTACGGATGCTAGTCGGAGTAGGATGAGAAAGCTGGACGTAGCGCCCGGTTGGCACGAGCTTGGAGATGACTCGCGCAGAGCGTCAAAGTGGCGCCACAACAGATAACCACATTACCACGATACCATGTCGCAAATGGTCTATGTCATCCTCATCTTGATCTACGATGTGCTGGCCGTCATAATCATCAGGATTTTCTGGGCTTGTTTTATTCTCCTATTGCACTCGTCTTTTCGTGAACTTGTGGGTTATCATGCAGATCTACCACCGTCATTTGCTCTGAGACGTTGCAATCTTTGCAGAATCAGGTTGTCCATACCAAAGAATGGTTCTGCATACTGGCGCCGTCGACCCAAGTCCCCCCTCATCTTCGTCGAAGAGCCGACCACGCAGAGCGGCTGCATTGTGTTCAATCTCGCAATGCCTTCAGCCGCGACAGCGTGCCAGCGACTGCTCCGCCCATTACTATTTCCTTGTCCACGTCCCGTGACAAAGGTTGGATACGTAAAAGCCACGACCGTCCAGCTAGCTAGCAAAGCAGCAAGCAGTAAGAGCATATCTTGGTATTTCCATCGAAATTGTGCATCTACACCTTTATCCGACTGCATACTCAGCCGACCTTACCTTAGGCCTCAACAACATACGAGCTGTCAATACCAGCAATTGCATCCGAAAGAACGTGCACTTCGTAGCTGACATTCGCCGATGGCAATGAAAGCGATACATGAACCTTATGTTTCCACGCAACGTGTTTTACATGGACAAGTTCCTCTCTTGCACCCTCCTCCGTCTTAGTTGTCAAAAGAACGTAGAAGCCGTACGGTTTGGGTTTCTGCAGTCGAGACGTGAAAGCAAGATTCCTGCCACCGCGATTATTGAGACCTGTCAATTCCACGTCAACCACTCGTTGTTGCTGCTTCTGCTTCACTAGCAGATCTACCCGAAACCGCGGTACCTCTTCTGCAACGCGAATCAACTCGTCGATCTTGTGCTTCGTCAGACTGTTAGGTTGTCCCCTCTGCTGTTGCGTCTGCAAATTCTGCAGGCATCCAATGATCTGCGCTTTCTTATTCTTCACCTCTAAAGCTGCTTGTAGATCAGTGATTTGTGATACCTGGAACTGCTCGCGCAGGAGTTTCACCACAGATTGAGATGCATACGGTAGCTGAGTCAGTGCAGTCCCTCCATCTAAATTTGTTTCATCCGGCCATCGGCCTTGCACGACAGCTTGTGACAAACGAATCCCAGCAAAAACCAGGTCTGTAAGCTTTAAAAAAGCACAAAGATCGATTGCAGCACTCAGCAAACGCGGCAAATGGTCCAACAACGTTTGTAGATCGTTCATAAAGTCACTCGACGGCAGACGCATACCCATCAAATGCATTTGCAGCAATAGCAGTGCCTTCACCTCACTCCCATGCGTCTCCAGTAGTGCTTTCTGACGCTTAGGAGAGCTCGAGAACAAATGCTTCAACGGCGAGTATTTCACCTTTGTGCAAATATCGGAAATCAGATTGCTCATGACCTCGTTATGGCGCAGCGGGATGTCACGAAGCTCCGTACTGGATTCACAAATCACGCATAGCAGCCGTAACGTGTTCGCTGCTGTGGTGCTCACCCCATCTTTCTCAGATGATATTGCTTTCAAAGCAGTTAGCATGTTGGACACGGTGCGTACATCCACGTAGAGTGACGCAGCAAGCTTTCCAGCAAAGGTTGGCTCAAAGGATACCATGCCACCAGCTTGCGAAGTGGTGATGCATTGACTGGACTCGAGCTGCTGCATCGTCGTCGCTATCAACTGCTGAAAGAATGTTTCTAACTTGTCTTGCTTGGTAGAACTTTTGTGCTGCTTGTCTTGCGTGGCATGCTTGCCAAGTTTTGCACTGGACGACTCATTTGCCACCACGTCCGCCCCCACACCGTAGAAGCTAGGATTTTTCAGCACACGCTGAAACAACAAACTCCAGCTCAAGTAATCCATTACGTCCTTAGCGTTATGAATGAATCCTGCTGTAATCTCGGCGTTTAAATGGTTAGCCAGAATATAGGGCATGGCATTACCACCCAGGCAAGACTCAACAGCTAGAGGCTCGTATAGGAATCGCTGTGTCATGTTCTTCTTGCTTTCTTCCACCAACACACACGCAATTCCTTTGTCATCCAGTAACGGACGGCCAGCACGACCGATCATCTGCAGCAAGTCGCTCAAGGGGTAGGAACGGTATCTACCACTATGAAAGTACTCAGTACCCTTAATCACAACAAGGTGTGCCGGAAGGTTGACCCCCCATGCAAGTGTTGATGTCGAGATTATGACTTGAATAAGACGATCCTTGTACAGCTTTTCAACCAATTCGCGATCTCTCCGTGCCAATCCAGCGTGATGAAGACCAATACCAAAGGAGAGCGTGTGCTTTAGGGACTCGTCCACAATCTGATTCGATTGACATATTGACTCCATAACTGCTTCATCCATCTTTAAAAAGCGCTTACTTCCATCACCATTTTCGTCAGAAGCAACACAGAACTGGATCAAGTCGAGAGCCGTCAATTTGGTCTGTGCCTTGGATGACACAAAAATGAGCACAGGTTTATCAGGAGAGTGAGTCTTGATAGCCATGAAGGTAGGCTTGTTCATTGCAGCCATGCGTGCCACATAATGACGCTCTGGGAAACCCTGAATGTGCACATCCATCGGTACTGGACGCACGGACGCTCGAAAGTTGTATGCCTGGCCATCGTCAGATTTGTTTGCGTGACTTGAAGTGATTCCACCCAGCCATCGACCTACGTCGCCTGCATTTCCAAGAGCGGTGGACAGCCCGATTAAGCGAATTGGCAGACCAGAGCGCTTGAACCGCCTAAGACGACTGATTAGTACTTCCAATACGGCACCGCGTGGTGCCTCACCCACTAAATGAACCTCATCCACGACAACAAGTGCCATTTGAGTCATCAAAGCACGACCGACCGTACTGCTACGCGTGAGCAGATCCCACTTCTCCGGAGTTGTGACCACAATGTCTGCCTTGTTCAATATGAACTCCACATTGACGAGTGTATCACCAGTCACTTCAACCACCCTTTTGCGCAAATGCGCGTTGTTTTCAAACCGAGCCTTCCATTCTGTCACTTTCTCGCGAGCAAGTGCTTTCATTGGCGCAATATATACAATCAGCGACTTGTAGGAGCGACGACTACGGCGTGTCTGCGTTGTATCAGCATCTAAAGAGCCCTCAGCGTTACTATCAGCATTTTCGCTACTATTCTGCTGTTTCCACACCCGTAGCATTGCTAGCTCAGCACACACTGTCTTCCCACTACCTGTCGGTGCACAGAGCAGCACGTTTCCATTTTGATGGTAGAGCTGATGGAACACTTGCGTCTGGATCGGATTGAAGTATTGGAACTTGCCAACGTACAATGCTTGGTAAACAGGATCGTCAAGAGACTGAAGAGGTTGCGGGTGCAGCCGAAGAAGCTTCGTGTACATGTCAGCTTTTTGCTTCTTCATCTCAGCAATATTACTTTCACCAGGTGCATAGCTCACTTCGTAAAATGACTCGATTCCAACAAAACGATCGGATAGAATGCGAATTACGTAATTTGCCTCCGCTTGCGTCTGTGAGATAAACACCGGCAGGTAACATTCCATCTCAAGAGTCTGAGTGCCAGCTTTCCATCCCACAAAACGACTCTGGTGAAGGACAAAGTACTCTGAATGGTAGATGTAGCCAGTGATAGCGTCTTCAACCCAGAGCCAAGAAGACAACGTTTTGCCCTGAAAAATGCCTTCTTTCCACTCGATAAACAGAGGATAAAGCTCGAATGCAAGCTTGATCATCGTGCTACCGAATGGTTGAGTCCGAACATTGTCAATATCTATGAACGGAACGCTTTGTACCCATTTCTTCATCTTGGCGCTCAAATTGAAAGCATTAGTATCAGCAATCGCGTCGTACAGAGTCATATTGTGACAGCGGTCAAACTCTCCAACGATGTCAAGCGGCACATGCGGGAGCTGCAGCATTGCATTCTGATCCCACCACATCTTCTGGTCAATACACTTGGCAAGTTGCAGGAACTTCTCAGCCTTCCGTGCACTATTTTTCTTCAGACAGATTTCAAACAGCGCACGGCACACACGAGAACCATTCTGGGCGACGTAATTCGTGTCCGAGATGAGTGTAAATGTCGACACACGAGCACGACCGATAAGACTCTGCAGAAGAATGTTCGTCTTTCCAGTGTAAGTGTCCATACCGCCTCCCAGAATGTCGAAACGACAGAATTTGCGCTTAAGTTTCTCCAACTCCGGCATCTCTTCCTCACGTGACTTCAGTTGTTCAAACTCGTTGCTGCTGCAGAGCACCAGCAGCACCTTTTCCCAGTCCAAATCATCGTCACCGCTTTCTTTTTGACCTGCCTTGCTATCGAGAAGATTGTTGAAAGTCTCAATGGACGTGTGCTGAATATAAAAGTGGCTTGCTACACGTCCCATTGACGTTACAGCAAATGCAATCTTGCCTTCTTGGTCAGAGCCCAATTGAACTTTCTCGCGAAGGATTTTAATCATCCGACATGCTGCCAGGTTCTCTGCAGCATCCATGAGCAGCTGTCTCCGTCGAGATGTCAGCATTGGATCTTCGTTTACATCGTCTATCTTCATTCCGTAGGCCAGTGGATTCTTCCGCATGCGTACGTACAGATACGTGTAACTGAGCCATGTGCATGCCTCTTCTAGATTGCTTACAGTACCGGAAACTATCTCGGCATTCAAGTGATCAGGCAACGATTTGATCAGAGCCGACTCCATCGGGATTCCTGTAGTAAGCAACCGTAGATAGTGTGGCAGTTGATCTTGCGTGGTCACTAAAACAGCATCACCGCTTGTGTCGTACTGCGGACGTCCAGCACGGCCAAAGATCTGCATCACATCTAGCATACTCAGTTGCGTCATGCCACCCTTGTCGGCATTGTACACTTGGGTGCCTTTGATAAGGACTGAGTGTGCCGGCAAGTTCACACCCCAAGCCAATGTTGCCGTGCAACACAACACACGGATGTAGCCCAACTCAAAAAGCTGTTCCGTCAAATTACGGTCACTACGTAGCATTCCAGCGTGGTGAATGCCCATGCCGTATCCTAGCAGCTCCTTGAGTTCCTTGTTGCGACTCTTTTGAACGCGATCCTGTAGACTAATGGGCAATTGTAGCTCTGGAGGCGGCAAAAATGCCTCGAGCGTACCGGGCTTCTCTTCATTACCGCGCGCAAGTTCGATGATGCTGCGCATCGTAGCTGCCGTCTCTTTTCGTGAGTGCACAAACACCATCACTTGTTCCTTGTGCTGAACTTGTTTCAAACAGTGAGCGAGCGTGAGCTTGTTCATCATCAATTGAATTTGACGCTGGCGACTCATGATAGCGCCTGCGCCTTTTTTCTCATCAGTACGGTTCTCTTGGCTTGTTGTCACCGTCGTGAGTGCTGCTGCACTCAAACCCAGAGCCTCTTTCAGGTTTGCATTCGTGCTCACACCAATAAACGTTTGATCCAGCGGTACAGGTCGGTACGTCGAGTCAAAGAAGAACAACCCTCCTTTACCGCCATTTGTAGCTGCATTTTGCATACGAGCATCTCCACTAGGGACGTAAACACGCAAGAATGACGCGACGTCAACGTAGTTAGGTAGAGTAGCTGACAGTCCAACAATACGGATCATGCTCTGCGTGCTCTCGACACGACGCAACGTACGAGCTACGATAGTTTCAATAACAGGGCCACGCTCGTCCGCAAGCAAATGAACTTCATCAATAATCAGGAGCTTTACTTGGCTAAGCAGCGATTGCTGGGTACTCGACTTGCGTGTAATGACATCCCACTTTTCGGGCGTGGTCACGATTACATGAGTCTCTTCAATCTCTTTCTTTGTCAACTGCATATCACCCGTAAGTTCACGCACTCTTAATTTTAGAGTCTGTAGTCTCTGACCAAACTTTGTGACCACTTCTTGTGCCAATGCCTTCATGGGGGCTACATAGATAATCTTCATGTTGGCCACTCCGTGGCTAATGGACTGATCTTGATGGTGGTTAATCTGAGTTTTTACCTCCTGTAGGACAGAAAGCATAGCCACATTGGTTTTACCAGCACCCGTTGGGGCACACACCAACAAGTTTTGATTCGAGTTGTATGCCGCATCAAAGAGTTTGGACTGCAGTCGGTTGAGCTCTGTGATTCCATGAAACGCAGTTTGCGCAAAGCTATCAAGGCTTGAGATCGCCACAAGCTTTTCTTCCGTATCCAGTGCCTTTTTAGCGTGAGCAGGGATGAACACGTGCTCGTAGCCTTTGTAATGTGTTCTCTTAGTGTTGGAAGGCAGTACGAGAGCTCCCGCTGACGTCAATTGACCTGCTGCAGCATTCGAATCGTATCCTCCTTGTAGCTCTCCAAACTCACGTTGCACCAGAGACGAAGACTGCAGTCGCCTTTCCTCTTCCGCGCTCTCTCTCTGCAATCTCAGCACTTCCATATCGTATCCCGCCGCTTCCAACCAGTTCACATCCTCTTCTACCTCGCCACCATTCCGTCGCTTGGACCTCCGTTGAGCCTTGCGTTGTTGTCGCTGAAACTTTTGCTCCGTTTCCGTTTGAATACTAAACCCCATCGATCTTGCTGCTGTACTTCCACACTCTGCAAACTTGTCCGCCATCTCCAGCATCTTGTGTGCCTCACGTAACTTCTCTTTGGTAATGAATGAATCTCCTAGTTCTTTCTGGTGTTGTACTGCAAATGAAATCAGTTCCATGCCTTCTACTCCTACGAGTCCAAAGAGCTGAGCCTGTACCCTATCATCAGCATCTCCGCGACCGTCCTGCACCGTTTGCAGCACAGATTCAGCCAGTTCCAGTGTCGTTAAGAAACAGTTGTCCCTGTTAGTAGCCGTGTGTTTGGCACAGGCATCTAGAAGCATCTCCACTGCGTTTTTCTTGGTCTTTAAGGGCTTGGATTCCTTGTGCTTGTGTCTTTTGGAGGTCACGACGGCACCTACAGCACCCGCTGCAGCTTCACGCTCGTTTGCTGCACGGAGCGTATCATGTTCTACCTGTAGAACCTTTAGCAGATCGTTGTGGTGCGTAGGGAGTGAGACATTCCATAGTTTCTCCGACGATAGAAATGGGTCACGAAATGTTCGTCTTTGATCGACTGTAGCTTTGTCCATAGACGGCGGTGAGAGCTGCGAAACGTCTTGAATTGTTGCATTTTGATTGATAGAGATATCTGTGCTAGTGGGAGTAGGAAATGCAGCGCGTAGAGCTGATAGGAGCGAAGTCATGGCCACGTCCTCGAGGTGTCCAAATGAGGATTTTGTCCACAGGGACTTGTATTGAAGAGAATAGAGTACGATAAATTAGATCATGCAGATATGGCTACATTGTGTGAGTGATGGTCAGTATTGTTAAACGATTAGTTGCTGCCCAGTAAAGTACGAATTGATAGGTTGCAATCGACTTATGAAAGAGACTGCTAGCTCGTACATAGCAGGATGTGTACGATACACCTCGTTACACCACCTAACACAAATTTACTCCTAACGAGCGTTGGCCTTTAAGCAGAGATTGCGGCCACCATGAGCACACGAGACGACATTACGTGCAGTACCTCGCAGACAACACCAGAACTTGACACCGTCATCCATGGCGGTGCCCATTTTACTACGATGATACGCTAAAAACCTTTGCGTCTGGGAAATGTAAAACTGCAGTGGTATAGAGCGGTCGCGTGGAGACCTTAAAATGCGTAAAATGTGGCGCCGATCGAGACGAACACGCGGCAAGCCCACCGTGACTACACGCTTCGTGAGGCCAGCCTCGCTCGACGAGTCTTGGACTGCATTCGTGCGCCGATGGAATGCAGAGTCATCGTTCGCCAACCTTGTGCCGATACGTGAGGAACGACGACAGCGCTATGGCCTCGCAGAGACTAGGAAGATCGTCTGCGAGTTGTCGTGGGCTGCTGACCGCTCTGCTTGTACTGTACACTGGCGTGAAGGTTGTCGAAGCTGCGAAAACAATGGGTAGCGCGGTTTGACTGCGCTCAATGGACGACGATGCTCCAGAATTACCCGTTTGAGCGATATAAGGAAAAAAATTGGACCGGAAGGTACGGAGAAACCTATACGAGTACCGACACGCCGTTATCGAGTCGAGCTAACACGACTGTGAAAGATGACCCTTTCTTAAGCCCAAGAATTCGTTCCCGCACACGGAGTCCCTGTCGAGAATCTAGTTGACTCGGTGCTGTCACCTATGTCGCTGACGGCGCGGACCATTTTGCGCTTCTTCTCCGTGCTGCGCTAGACGTGTTTCGCACGCCTAAATGTATCTTTTCCGGTCAGCGCATGAACAATGCCACCACCATCGTTACTATTTTCGGCTTGCCACCGCCTCTGTCTTGTGAGCGATAGTCAGCTTGCACATGCTCGAATTTGCCGCAGCCGTAGCAGGTGCGTGTTTCCTTTGCTTGGTGTCGCTTGTGCAGCGACGACTTCTTGTCCCACTGCGCCGCTTTCAAGCTCGATTGATTGTGCTTACGGTCATATTCCCACAATGTTATTCCCTAACATACTATTTGCATTGACACCTAATGATGATGTCAATGCTATGTAACGGGCTCACCCGTTCCAACTTTTTCATCTCTCGATTCAAGGGCTTGTATCATATCACCGTGATGGCGCAATTCGGCAGTAAATCAGCTACCGTGATATTATAACAGCTGCATCTCTCGAGTAGCTGTATTCGATTGCAATCCTGTTCTGTAAGTACTGTCAAGGCCCGCACAGAGTCTGCTCTCTTGTAAATAGTCAAAGTGCAAATGCAACAATTGGCTGATCATCGTGCTTCGGTTTGTCAAGCAATTAACTAATCTACATAAATGCTGCTTACTTCTTAGATTGGTCATGATGAAAGTGACCAAGATTCGTATTCTAAAAAGCAAATATTAGAATGACCTAGCGTAAGGTAGTATACTACTCGTAACAAAGAGTATTATAATAATAGTCGTAAATCAAAAAATAGTACTATTTCATCAAATAGTACTATTACAACTGCCCCCAAAGTGTCATGTTATTAATATTTTCAGTCACCTCTCGTCATCATGGTACAGGTCCAGTCAAGTATACTTGGAACTCTCATGGTAACTACGTCGCATCTTCAGGAACATCTCGTGTTGTTCATATTTTCAATCGACGTGGGAAACTCGTAGACCAAATTGTTCCACCGTCTCCGAGGTAGGAAAACTTGTATATTACCGCTACAATAATTATAGTAAAAAACACTCAATTATTGTTATTGTGATTCCATGATACCAATACCGTTGTAATACCGGTAATCGATTCCATCACAAAAGTCCATGTACATTGCTCGAGTGGAGTGAAAATGGCGACATTCTCGCTATCGTGCAAGCTCATTCATCGTCGCTCGTACTATGGGAATGGAAGAAAATTCAACACCATCAACTTGTGGACTTACCGTGCAACGACATTACATTGATCAGATGGTCCAAGTCGTCACATTCATGGATGGTCTTGCTGATCAATTGTGCCAAGTAGAAGAATTCAAGACTCGGAGATTCAATTCTGACATTTTGTCTTCTTCTTGTTGTTGTTCTTGCTGTCTAGTTGGCAATTGGGACTAATCGAGGACAAGTTTATATTTATTACCACGTTACTGGGACCACGATACAAGTCGTGAGTAAACATAAACGCCGTATTTTGTGTGGAGACTGGAATTTTCAAGACAAGTTTGCGTTTGGATCGGAAGATCAACAGATTACAATCTGCTTGTCGTCGGGACAAATTGTTGACCAAGTGAAGATTAAAGCATCACCAGAAAACATTACGGTATTCTTCTTTGAAGTGATAGTGGCTTTGCTTCGGTTTATTCGCGTTGAGTACTAAGTGTTCTTGATTGTGCTAGTTTGGTGGCAAAACACCGGGCCAAGATGCTATTCTATCGGTGAATATGGGTGGAAAAACAATTTTGCTATACGACTTGAATGCACGAGAAAACGCGCTCGAGTTAGCTTTCCAGACGCAATACGGCAACATTGTGTCGTATCAGTGGTTTGGCAACGGGTACATTCTTCTGGGGTTCTCATCGGGCTATGTGGTGGTTATTTCCACGCAGTCTAACAAGATTGGTCAAGAACAGTACTGTGCCAAATTCTATGAACACTCACTTCGCGAGATTGTGTATAACGAAGCAAATGGCATGGTGGCAACTTGTGGAGATAACTGCATCAAGGTAGTGCGAATGAGCGACTGGAAAGAAATTGCGGTGAAGTACGTGGACAGCGAGCCAGCTCCGTCTTCAAATGCTGGCGCTACTGCCTCTGGAGTCGCAGGATCACTACTTACGTCCTCACCGTCTATGATTGCCGATAAATCAGGAATCAGTTCGGGTAGTGGATCAGCGCACGCGCCGTTGTTGCTTATCGAAGATCTCCAGTGGACTCCTGACGGGCGCGTTTTGAGTGTTAGCTCGCACAATGGCTGTCTGCACAATTTCCTGATTCCTAGCTCTGCACTACGGTCTTCCTTGTTTGACCTTGACTCGCCGTTAGCTACTGTATTGAAACCCATTGCCCCTTGGACAATGCTTTTCACTATGAGCTTCATGGCATTTGCCGTGTTGCTTGTGATCAGTGTACGATTTGAAGTGTCATGTATGGACGTTATCAGCGCGATGACCGGCTTTGTTAAAGGCGTATGAGCTCACTGCAGTAGCCGTGTCAAGCTGAAAGGCTGTTATCGTGCACGCCTTTCACGACAACAGCAGAATCTACTCGTAACCAAGTGTGTGGATCATTTCATCAAAATCAAGTCGTATACGCTTAACTGCTCACTAGCGTTCATGATTCTGCTGCATCTTCGCATCATGCCACCAGCTCCTTTATATCCGGTATGCGTGTGTATTATTCACTTGTCCAATGTCAAGGACGCCTATAAGCTGGAATACATAGATCCACATGCAGTCGCAATAATGCTGGAGCTTCCTGACCTCTCTCTATATCGTAGCACCAAAATCCATTCACATTGCGTTATCAGATAGTGTCGTGTTCATCTACACTAGATACCCATCTATAGATGTTCGATACACTTTGTCTGTTTGCTCAATCAGTCAACAACGTCGTCATTCCATTATCTAATCCACTTTCGCAATCGAGACTACGCCCCACCATTCAATATGTCGTCTCCTATCGAAGCTTTATTACTGGACATGGATGGTGTCTTGGCTGAAGTATCACAGTCGTATCGTCAGACGATCATTGATACTGCACGTCACTTTGGCGTGTCAGTCACACACGAAGATATTGACAAGTTGAAACTTGCTGGCAATGCCAATAACGACTGGCAATTGACACACCGTCTTATCCTCAGAGGATTGAGTAGTCATGCAACAAGCAATGTGCCGTCACTGGGAGACGTTACTGCACAATTTGAAGCCTTGTATCAAGGCGTGGGTTCCACACCGGGACGATGTGAACTCGAGACGTTGCTCACACCCGTCGGACTGCTACGAGAACTAGATCGACGACTGCCTAAAGGCATGGCAATTGTCACTGGACGTCCCCGGAAAGATTGCGTAAAGTTTCTGAGCATTCATGGTATTGAGGACCTTTTCCCGGTACAAATTTGTATGGAGGACGGTCCACCCAAGCCGTCACCTGAGCCCATTCGACTGGCGCTTAAAGCACTGGGAGTTTGTGCAAAGAACGCGGCCATGGTCGGTGATACTGTAGACGACATTATTGCAGGATGCAAGGCTGGTACCATTGCGTACGGTGTGTTAACGCCACAAGTGTATGCCAAGTCAGTGCTGGAGCAGACGCCTGCGATGATTGGAAAGGTGCTGGAAGAAACGGGAGCTTGTGTTGTGCTGAACCCTGGACTTGCACAGCTACTCGATCTCATCCCGTCGACGACAAGCAAAGCTTCAACTGCAGTTGAGAATAGGAAGACGATCGCTGTGCGTGAGGCAAACATATCTCGTGTGACGAAGGAGACGTCGATTCATGTGAAACTGTCGCTGGACGGCACGGGCAAGTCTAAGGTATTCATCAGACGCAGTCTGTGTTGCTCTGTGATGGTAGAAATGACTTACGTTGTGTTGCGGTTGTAAATTTGTTCGTTTAGGTGAGCTCTGGTATTGGGTTTCTCGATCACATGCTGACAGCGTTAGCCAAGCATAGCCGCTTTGACCTGGAACTTGAGTGCAAAGGTGATGTCTGGGTTGACGACCACCACACAACAGAGGACTGTGCACTGACTATTGGTGAGGCCTTTGACACTGCTCTCGGTGATCGCACTGGCATTGCTCGCTTTGGATCAGCTTGTGTGCCACTCGACGAAGCACTATCACGTGCCATCGTGGACATCTCGAGCCGCGCACACAGTGAGATCAATCTGGAGCTAGTGCGTCCGAGCATAGGCGAGCTGTCGTGTGAGATGATTACGCACTTTTTCGAGTCTTTTGCAAGCGCTGCGCGTCTGACGTTGCACGTTGACGTATTGCGCGGCCGCAACGACCACCACCGCGCCGAGGCGTCCTTTAAGGCTCTGGCTGTTGCACTGCGCATTGCTATCAAACATGACGCCACTGCTGGCGTGCCAAGTACCAAGGGTGTATTGGCATGAGCATTGAGCTTCAATCTGTCCATATTTTTCTCGTGCATTCGACCGGAATTCGACCAGATTGAAATTCTTGTTCGATATAAAGCCTTCTACCAATTTCTTCGTACTAAACACGTAGATTTTATCTTCTCGATTGGGATTCTTGTTCTATGTCTATGGATGATCATGACACGCTGAGGATAAAAAAGTATTGTTATTGTTAGTGGTTTTTGGGCTTATTTGAAAAGTCCTAGATAGTGTCAATGAAGTTGAAGTGAATGTTGTTACTTAACCGAGACAACGGTACTGGGACCGGTAGACCGTGTTTTTTGATGTTTATCCTTTCGATGAATTATTCTGTCATTTTCACAGGAAAAAGCAGAAAAAACCCACTCGAAAGTTTCTTTTTATCTAGTCGGAAAAAAAATCCATGTTTTTTTGTAGAAAAAGTAAAAAACAAGGAAGTGCTTTAAAAAGTCTCCAATATATAAAAAATTCACAGCATGTTGTAAAAAAACCCTGTTTCATAAAAACTGATTTTTACCGTGGCTGATTTTCAAGAGACCGGTATACACTGCATCATCATCATCAGTCAGTAGTAGTACGTGGCAATTGCAATTGAATAGTTTGTTTGTGTTATGGCGGACGAGACGGAAGTAGAAACCGTGACGCGCATTCATGCAGTGGATATTCGTGACTTGTATCCCCATTTCGCTCCAGAAGATGCAACATCGCGTATGTGTCTTTTGTGTACTGCGAAACTCAAGGACAAGACACACAATCTCACGCGTCATTTGGAACGACATCATGCTGGTGCATTGTTGCAGCTACTGGAGCAACGTAATCAAGCATCACCAAGTCTATTAGCTTCAAGAACGAGACGTACACAACAGGAGAAAACAGCAGCAGTGAAACAACCCATGATGGCACAAGTAGAGGATCCTGTGTGCCGGACTGGAGATGCTAAACTAACATTAGCTCGATGGCTTGCTCAGGAACAGCTTCCAGTTGATGTAGTTCATACATCTGGCTTTCGAGAGTTTCTTGAGGCTCTTAATGGACACTTTAGTCCACCAAAGAGAGAAGAATTGCAATACGTGCTGGGAACGTTGATGACAAGCACGGATGACAGCATCACAACTAGTCTTGATGATGATACGAAAGGAATTACAAGCAGTCATAGTAATCACGTGAGATCCATGGTAGAAATGATTGCATTGAGAGCTACCTGTCGCTGCAGTGAAGATACACCATTGGTCTCGTGTCGTCGTGTTGCTTGTGACATTGCCGGAAAAGGTGAAGCTAAAGTGCGCATTTTACGCGCAGCAGCATCGCTCTTTGATGCACAGACGTGTCGTGGAAAAATACTGGGCAGGAGTGGAGTGTTGGGCAGGTCTTTTGTCGGTATCGTGAGTGAAATGCAGCCGTCAGTCTTTCACCAGTCCGAGCTCACGGCTGCAGATTCTATCAAAGTTTCTGACAAGGTCGTGGCGTCACCGTATATTAAGCGTACGCCTTTCGTTCAACACATAACGCGAGTAAACGAGCAGCAGCAGGAGCATCAGGCCGAGTCGTCTCTCTATAGACCAGAGTTTTGCAGCAATGCTTCATGTGTAGTCGGTGTAAGTGCTTCTAGTGGAACACTTGCCGAATACATTGTGATGCCAATGGCAAATCTATCCATTGTCCCTCCCACGATCCCCGATGATTTGGCACTTTTGGCTGACGACATATCTGTCGTTCTCTCGATCGTCAGTGAGCTGCAGCGACGACACGTGGCCAACATCGCGATCCTATCTGACGGACCAGGGACTATTCTCTCCAACTTACTAACGCGACTGCTGCACCAAGACGTGCAGTTCCCAGCTCAGAACCTGTACGTGTTCTCTACGTCTCCAACTAGCAGCAGCTCCGTATGGTTGCAGCACGCCTCTCTGACTCCTCTAGATATTTATCAGCCCGCTGCTGTGGCTCAAGTGCTGGCGCAACAGACAACGCTGGCACTGGACGCTGTTGTAGACCTCATTGGTTCCGAAGCTTCTGGTGAGCTTGCAACGTCGCTAGTGCAGTCCATGGGCTGCGTGGTGTTTGTAGACAGGTCACGGCTAGACTTGCAGCCGCCATGGACTATCGCCATGGACATGAACGCTCTGGTTGTGAGGGAGCTTGAAGTTGTGAGCGTTCACGACTGTCACAGTTACTTGGATGAAGCACTGCAGTACTTGGCAACACAGGCTGCAGATCAGCAGAGTGCAATGGAGCTACGCAAGTGTCTATTGTCTAGCGTAGATCTCTCTCAGGCGCTCCATCAGCTCCAGGCAATTCCAGAGCAAACGCTTGAAGCGCGGTATCTTCAAGTAAAACAATGATGTCAAGCTACATCCACTAAGTATATACGCAACTAAAGCTTGTTCGATTAACAGAAAGAGGCTAACAGTATTGTAAGTTGTCTGGAAGTTGCGCTACTTGTGATCGTTACACTACTGCTCCGAGCGGCAGCGTTTGAACGACTCTTGCAGTCCTGAGCCATGCTTGAGTTCATCGGCAATCTTGTTGTCTTGGTCTTCAATGGTTTTCGCCAGAGCTGCTACTTCCGCTGCACGTTCAAGAGGAATGACAAGGACACCATTCACGTCACCTCGAATAATGTCGTTGTTACGGACGGTGCGACTACCAACGACAATGGGGCAGTTGACGTCAATAGCAGTCGTTGTCTTTTGTTGACCATGCACTGACGTTCCTCGAGAGAACGTGGGGAAGCCAAGGGCACATAGTTCCTGCACATCACGCACACATCCGTCCGTCACGACACCTACTGCACCTCGTGCCTTGGAAGCTGTTGCTAATAATCCACCAAACAGACCACAAGTAATGCCACTCGGTGCACTAATAACAATCACATCACCTTGCCCAACTTTATCCACATAATGATACGGCAATTTCTTTACTTCCGGACCCGTGATTGGCACGACGTGGACTGTAAAGGCTGAGCCACAAATGTCCGTAGTTAAAGGCGAATCATAACCTCGTACAAGGTTCACATCCACAAGATGACCTTGAATCTGTAGCTCTACCATAGCGTCTGCAATGGCACATACCGAGAGCTTGGACAAAAGCTCTTGCAACTTGACGGATTCTTCCGATAATGACGACATGATGATGATGCAGAAAGATGAAGTATGGACCTGCTCAGGAGATGTATTTATTTTAACCAATCAAATAACGAGGATGATGTGTTGACACATTTCAGATGATTTCATGTTTTTGATTGGCTATTTTGGTATAAAGTGTCCACGATGAGGATATTCATTGGTCAAATGATTTGTGACCATATGAAACGTTACTGTCCTAGGAAAAAGAATTTTTTTTACAAAAAAACCATATATAGAATAGATAAACCGTGCGTATTTTATAATTCTTGGGTTTTTTTTCATACTTGCTTTGAATCTTCTCCGTCATATATCGCGTAAACTACATTGTGTCCATCCACAAACGCTCATGGGTCGAAAGCCAAGTAATGTGTACGACTATTTCATTCGCTTAGAACCAGAAGCTGGACACAAGGGAATGATACGGTATCAATGTAAGAAATGTGACAAACAGTACGCAAGCAATGCAACACGATTGGCTGATCACCTTAAAATGTCGTGCGCCCCAAGCTTTCAGACGAACCAGCGGATCCGAAAGGTCAATGAGCTTTCACCTGTTAATATCCATCCGATTGGAAATATACAAGAAGGTGAAGCTAATGAAGATACAGAAGAAGCAGAGGGATCATCTGATGGTATGGCAGCTACAGTAGCGTCACTTGCAGTACCAGTACCAAGTCCTGACGTGTACGCAGCAGCTGGAGTTGAAACAGCTCAATCACTCGCGCTCAAACGGTCTGATCATCAACTGCTTACCAACATGTTAGAGTCAGTAGATGAACCACCACAGGATGTTACCGAGGTATTATTGCGCTTGGCAAAGCTGTCGACGTGTGTTATTGGAGATGCCATGGCGCAGATGAAGCTTCAAGGACATTTAGTGGATGTCAGTCTTGTTCGAGGATACAATACACCTCTGGCTATGAATATCTGTGGACCAGCATTGACAGTCAGGATAATGCCAGCGACAGGAGCTCTGGTTGGTAATGGATCGTATGACTACATGGATACGGCCGAAATGGGGCAGGTTGTGGTCATAAGTGCTCCACCAAAGAGTACGATGGCGGTGTTTGGTGGGTTGTTAGCAACGGCATTGAAAGCACGAAATGTGACAGGTATTGTAACGGATGGACGTGTACGAGATGTGCAGGAGTTGTGTACAATGAATTTTCCGGTATTTGCAATGGGTACATCTGTGTACGGGGAGTATGGAGCGACAACGATCGCCGAAGTAAATGGACCCGTACTAGTTGCTGACTGTGTCATACGTCACAATGACATTATTCGTGGAGATATCAATGGTGTTATTGTTATTCCAGCTGAACGTGCTCAAGACATTGCGACCCGCGCGGAGATTATCGAGGACCAGGCGAATAAAATTATCGAAGCTCTGAACGATGGGGAACCAATGGAGCGCTCGTTACACCGTTTTAGCACTTCGAGGGAAGTGTGATTGAAAATGGTATCCTTACACTCACATTTTACTGCTGTCTCTTGTGCTGAGACAAGACAATGGAAAGCAATACACAAGTTCTACGACGTGCTTCTCCACGATATGTTTGGAGGTATTTAACTAACGACGATAGCAAATAAAATAAATACTCGCTCGAATCAGTTTTTTTAACATGGCTACATATTATGTAGCCATGTGATAATAGTTTACAAGTGTTTTTGTTTTCCGCCAATCATATCATGTATCATTTAACCAAGCAAAGGAAAATCGGAGAATGGCCGATGAAGTAGATTACGAGAGCGATACGGCCATGGCTGTTGAGGAAGAAGAAGAGGAGAAACCACAAGTTGAGTGTGAAGACAAGAAGAAACGTATTGTAAAGGGACGTGGATCTGGCTCTGCAGCAATGGACGTTAGCCGGTATCCAGCAGAAACTGGTGTCTTTGAGAAGCTCAAACCTTTATCGTCTGCTTCATTGTCTCGAGATCATGCCAATGCTCTTCGTTCGGTTGAAGGATGGATCCTATTTGTTACTGGAGTACATGAAGAAGCACAAGAAGAGGATGTAATGGATGCTTTTGGAGAAGATGCACAAGTGAAAGATTTACATTTGAATTTGGATAGACGTTCGGGTTTTGTCAAGGGCTATGCACTTGTGGAATTTGAGCAGTTTGAAGATGCAAAGGCAGCCATGGAACGTATGGATGGACACAAGATTCTAGGTAATGTCATTCAAGTGGACTGGGCGTTTCAGAAAGAAGCAGAGAGAAAACCAACAGGACGTCGAACGAATCGACGGTAGAGACTTGGATGTCAGACTGGTGGACGTGGTCAATACGTACGTCTCACGCTTCTTCTTGCGGCGTTGGCTGAGTTTCTTGATCTTGTTGGTGTTCTTTGATCTGCATTATTCTCTAATTGTCACTTCATGTGCAGCTAAGCAACCATTTAATACTGGATCCAACGTTTGTCAACGTGTTCATGTGATAACGACTCAAAGCATTGGTGTATGTAGCAGATCTCAATGTTGCTAGGTTTTAGAAAGCAAGCATGTTGAAGCTTCAAGTCACGAGCAGCAATAGTTTGTCATTCGTGACAAACTTCTTGACTACTATGGTGTCAATACTGGCTCACTTGGTCTAAAACTTGTCAATGAACTCTGGCTCCGACACAAATCTCTTCATCATCGTGCAAAAGTAAGAAGACCCATTGCAAACAGTTGGAAGATGGAGTATCACGTAGATCATACCACATGAACTACAGCTACTACTAACAATCCTCTTGATACATGTTTTCCTCCTCTTCACTTCTTTGATAAGAAATAAGTCGTCATCCAGTAGTAACACTAAGAGGCAATAAGCGTCTGCAAACACTTGACGACGTCGCCATTAGCCTCACGGAGCTTGCGGTCTGCCTGTTGCGTCGAAATCTCCATCTCCTGCGCCACAAGCGTCACATCATCTTTGCTGACCTTTACAGCCGCTAGCGTCTTCTCCAACAATCGTTCGGCCTCTTTATCCGCCTCCTCTTGCTTACGCAGTGCTTGAAACGCCTCCTTCATCTTGTTCTCGTCCATTTGCTTCTCTTCCACAAGGTCCGTAAGCTTTTCCATAGCACTACTCTCATCCTTCTTACTCTTTATCTGATCTCTCGGCTTTGTCTCCTCGTCGTCTGAGCCCACATGAGCTTCAGTCTCGCCATCTGCCACGGCCTCTTGCTTCTTCTTCTTCTTCTTCTCGTCTTGTTCACTCGTGCTCATTCTTGTATGAAGAAATGACCAGCAATCGTGGTCATAGTATTTGCTACTCTCTTATTCGATAATAATACGTGATATTAATATTATTTTATCCACTAGTATCGTGTACCTGCTAAACCTTATTTACTGCAACTTTAGCACACACATTGATTTAGCTCATCAGTCTAAATTTAAGAAAACTAGCAAATCTAAATCTTTTCATATCAAATCTCCCAGGTTGTAATATTCATTTGACAACAACAACACGGCGATCGATACGTCCGACAAGCACACACGTCATTTTCGAACGTGCCTTCTCGACCGCCAACCACATCCACCTTCATTCTGCACGAAGTAATCCACAATGTTTTCCCGTGTCTCCCGTCGCGTCGCCTACGCCGTCAAGACCAATGCCACCCGAACCTTTGCCACGCAGACTCGTGCCGTATCGGCCATCAAAGCTCCGGCCGCTCTGGCTATTGCCGCAGCTGCTGGTGTCACGGCCTTCGCGATGACAGCTACCCCCGTGGCCGAGAACAAGGCCACCGATAAATTCACCACGCCCCTAGCTGGTGTCCCCGGTACCTCTACTGAACGCACTTTCATTGCCATTAAGCCCGATGGCGTGCAGCGAGGCCTTGTCAGTGAGGTGATTGCTCGTTTCGAGAAGAAGGGATACAAGCTCGTGGCGCTCAAGCTTATGACGGCGACGGAAGAGCGCGCCAAGGCGCATTATGCAGACCTATCGGAGCGTCCGTTCTTTCCAGGTCTTGTCAAGTACTTTACTTCGGGCCCTATCGTGTGCATGGTCTGGGAGGGTACGGACGTGATTCTAACGGGCCGCAAGATCCTTGGTGCTACCAACCCCAACCAGGCAGCCCCAGGCACCTTGCGTGGCGACAACTGCATCTCCACGGGTCGTAACCTTGTGCACGGATCGGATGGCCCTGACTCGGCCAAGCACGAAATTTCCATGTGGTTCTCCCCCGCGGAAATGAGCAACTACGAGCGCGCTCTCGACTCATGGATCGTCTCGAACAACTGAGCGAAGTTGGCACTCGACTTTGTTTGTTGGCGAGCTTCAGTAGCTGGCGCTTAGTACGCTGCTTTAATACAGTTAAACAACTACAATGATTCAGCACTCGTTGCCTCTTGTGTCTTGAAAGTCTACAGCATGGCACTTTCCGCTATCTGTTGTCATGCTATCCTTGCTAGAAAGCCACTCGTTCTCGTAGTCGTGCATATCATGTCAACCCATGCCAATGAACCGAGATCAACTTACCGAGGACTTCGGGATCGAGTGAGCGCTGCTCGTCGAAATCCGAAAAATGTAGCAGGCAAGCGTGTAAAATCCACTCGGTCAAAACGCCAGCCGAGATGTTGGTAACACGAATTGCAATGTGTGATACTCCATACATAGCCTGCAAACCACGTGTCCTCTGTACTACGATTCATGTCCACTACCACATTTGCACGGTCCACATCGCGTAATGTCAACACTTGAAACACATGACCTCCTGGATTGACGTAAGTACCTCCCGCTGCACCACATGCCGTCATACTAAATATATCACGAGTGTTTGCAAGAAAAGAACCGCACAGGAAACAGAAAATATCTTCCTGAGTCTGTTCCAGCAGCTCAATCTCTCGACGTAATAATCGGACAGTAGAGTTCATTCTCAAAAGGTCCAGTCGCTGTGTTGTGTCTAATGGCAAGTTGCGAGCAACCCAGAACGCGAAAAGGTTTGGGTCTTGTATATCGCTTGGCACCGCCAAATAGTGTACCAAGGACGCTTTCTCATCACGTTCATCGTCATCGTTTTGCCCACTTGATCGTTCCGTGCGTGGTTTATGGAACCACTCGCCGTGAATGTTTGATAGCAACATGCTTTGAATCTTTTGCACCAGTACACGGGCATCGTACAAAGCGTAAGTAGCGTATCCCCAGTATGCTGGAAACTGTCGTCCACGTATTCTCCGTAGATTTCTCGTCTTGTTTTTCTCGTTGCTTTGACCTTCGACTCTCGACCGCCAGCACAAGTCGTCAAATGGAATTGACTGTGCTCTGTCCTCGGCCAAGATCTCCACTTCTCCCCACAAAAAAAGCTCAGCATCAGACTCTTCTCGTAGTCTTTGTCTAAGACGAAAACGCTGCCTTGCACCACCAGCCATCCTCACGCCATCGTCTTCTACACTGAACCTCTCAACTCGAACTGTGACCCCAAGCTGTGGTCCAGTCTGGTGAGGAGGTAATACAGCCAATAGCGCTTCACCACTTGACAGCAAGTCTCGAAAACTGCGAAATGAGACCGAGTCCGAAAGCATTCGAAGTGGTAAATCGTCACCAGGGAATAAAACCTAAGAATTAAGTTCAATTTTAGTAACGAATTAATTCCTATTGCAATCAATACTAGTCCAATTTCCTGTACATGTGTGGATATAAATCATTGTTACTGATACGTACAATATCTGGTAAATACACTAATGGTAACGTTAAGACTTTACCATCAGGGTAAGAGGAAAGCTCACGATGGTATACAGTCTCTAATGATCCTAGATATGCATGGATCTCGTCATTACTTGTCATACTGATCAAATGATGTTCGAAATTAATGTACACGCCACTAAATTGTGACCTTCGCCACCAACGCTGACAAATAAAAATGAAGCAACCATCATTCCTACTCTGTCAATACATTATTAATTCCTACAGGTTTTAGATAGAAAAAGTAGGTACCACTTTCATTATTGATAGACAGACATCACAATGGCGGAAGCCGATGCTTTCATCTTTGCGGCACTAAAACAAAGCAAATGGTGCGTTAAGTCGATTTGTTCAGCGTCATATGTTATTCTCTACGCTCTTATGTTTCTATTCGCACAGCTTTCACGATTTCTTACGTCTTATTGCGTGCAAAAATTAGGCTAGAAGGTTCCTCTGAGTCCACGTCGTGGACAGTATCAGATCTCTCGTCGGATGAATTCATTGTCCTAGTCCTTAAGTTTGTAGCAAGACTACAAGATGTTGATGGTAATAAGAGCCTGGATCCTGTCGTACCAGCCGTTACGGCTCCTGTTGGCGTTGCTGCGAGGCATCGCGTGGGCTCAAAACTTGCTAATACCCTCAAGGTTTCTGAGACTTTATATTTTATGTGAAGTACTTACGTCAATAACGCTATTGTATTATATTTGAAAGGAACTGGGATATGCTGGGGAATGTGGATACAATCACTTTTTGTATCCAAACGAAAAAGAGACAAGAAATATTTTATCATGGCTGGTTGGGAAATTGCCAAGGTCCGAGGTGGGAGAAAATGAAAATAACGACAGCAAAAGCGACGTTCTGGACACAATGGGAAAGTTATCAAATGCAACAGGCTGGCAAAAAAACTTGGTACTAGATAGCGAGCAGCTGAGCAACATTTTCTTGAGCTGGAAACGGGAAAAGACGCTGCCTATGCTACCAAACCAGAATGTCAAGGGGCTGAAAGGGTTTCAACGACTACCTTTGCAGACTTCTCCGCTTGAATTACCGTGGAGTCGATTAGGCAAAACAACACGCAACATGTTTGAAGGGTTTCCGGAAGGCTCTGTGAAGATAACGTCGCTTTTGGAGGCACTATCGGTAGCAAAACGTAGCAACACGATACTGCTTCGGGAAGATGACTTGGAGGAAGAGATTGAGAGTGTCGGCATTGAGCCAAACGAGAAGAAAGATGATGGTGTGTTGAAGGGTGATGGGCAAGTTGCTGGAGAAAATGGCTCTTTTGCTTTACAAGGAGCACAGAACGAGGATGATGACTTTGCTGCTATTCAGCCGCAATCATTCGTAGCGACTGCGCTCCCAGACGTGCCAACCTCGCTTGATAGTTCATCATCTACAGGTTTGTTTGTCACAGAAAGTCTATCGGTGGAATCAACAGGGTTCAGTAACGTTGATACAAGTGAAAGAGAACAGAAGAGGGGCACGGAGGATTTAAAAGGAGACAAGGAGCAGTCTATTGAAACACTGCAAAAGGAATTGCATGATACAGAGCGCCGTATTGCTGCGATGCGAAAAGTGCTAGATCATGAACGTGGTGAGCTGCATCAGGTTGAGCAACACATTATTGAAGCGCAAAGCACGGGGCAGTTAATGCAAAAACAACTCGCTAGGCAAAAGCAGGTGGTAGCAATGCTTCCTCAGGCACAATCGAACATTGCAAAGCTGGAGGAAATTTGCAAGACGAGCGCAGTAAAGAAGGATGCAATAGCACGACAGACGGAAGTCGCACGGGAGCCTTTACTTCAAGAGTATGCTGAGCTAAAAGGTCAGAAGTCGAGGCGAAAGGCCCGGTGCCGACAACTTGTTCGCGAAATCAAGGCCTTTCGAACAGAAATGCAGGAACTCACAAGTGTCATTTATTCAAAGTTGGAGCGTATGCAAGCACTTGAAAAGGTGCAAGAGCGGCAGATGGAAAAGCTTAACAAGCAGAAGGACATGACAAGGGGTCCTATGACGCGCAACATGTACACGTCGCGCATCATGGATATTACCAAGCAGGTATACAAGCAAAGGCAGGATATTGCTAAGATTCTGGAAGACATCAAGGGACTTCAAAAGCAATTGAATGCTGCGTCAGAGAAGCTCAAGCGGACTGAAGCAGTAGCTGAAGAAAAATTGTACGGTGCAGCGAGCAAGAGTAAAAATGCCGGTAGCACAAAGACTGAAGCTTATGTCGAGTGCTACCGCAAGTTTGCACAATTGCGCGAGTTATTCGAAGAGCTCATTGCAGTTATTACTGATCTTGGAAAAAAAGAGAATGCAGCTCGTGATCTGCGTAATTCAATTTCTCAGCTGGAGGCACGGGAGAGCAGCAATCATTTGGACAAGGTACTTGCAGATCTTGACAGTGTACGGAAAGAGAATGGTACTCTTCAAAACGAGCTGCGAACACGTCTGTCGTGCTAGTGTTGAGTAATGTAATGTAATGTACTGGATTCCTTATGAAAGTCCAGCAAATGCTGTAGGCAAGTACTATAATGTGCCTTTCTTAGTATCGGAACAAGATTTGATTGCCTGGAAGACATCAATGGAAAACAATCAACTGCTTTCTTACTAATGAATGCAAAGAGACACAAAAGAATCAACAGACACATTACGACTGAAGCTTGAACGTTGTGACAAGCATTGCTTTGAGTACTCACCACAAGTTACAACAGATGTGTAAATTCTGAAATTAACTTCATTCATCTGTTTGTGCTGCTGTTTGAACCAAGTCATGCGCGTTCCTCAGCCGTAAGGTTTCAGCCATACATGTATGCTTGACATGCCTTATGACGATGTTGAGCTGAACGAATTGACTTTGCTTTAAACTCACCAGCTGACAGCACGACAAGGTTTGAAGAACCTAATGAGATGCAACACGATCCAGATACGCGACCATTTCCGTTATGAATCAATCGTATCGAGAATACGGCACAATGCTCTTCATCCGCCGTTAAGCGCTTTGCGAACATAACAGTCTTGGCTATTGACGATGTCAAAGTTTGCAGTAGCAGACTCAGTAGCGCTGTCACTGCCACTGTCAAGACAGAATCAAACGCAGCAAAACAACGAATTGGATCGGTGTTGAACAACCACAATATTATAGCAAAGCCATGCGTACCTGCTACTCAGCGATGTACAGCGTACTTTTCGATGTTCACGAAGTGCACACAATCGATCCAGATGTGCATGCATCAAAGATGTCAGGTATTGAACCTGCATGGATGCCACCACCGCCTCCATAGACGCACCATCCTGTCTATATTGTGGACGTTACCAAAATTTACACAAGTAATAACACCGTCAAGGATTGTTGCTGGCATGTACCTTTTGAATTCCGCAACAACCTGTTTTGCCAAACCCACCAACGACTCGTGCTGTCCGCCACAAATCGAAAAATCGCTACTAATTGCGCGAAGCTCAATTTCCACGTCCTTTAGTTCCTTCAATGCCGACTCCGTAGCTTGTTTAAGCATCGCAGCCGAACACTTCAGCTCCTTGGATTGGCGACGCTCTTCTTCTAATTGCTGCAAAAGCTCTTGTTTCTCATTCATGAGTTGTTTCTCTGATTCTTTCGGTTGATTTCCGTCTTCAATCTCGGTAGTCGATGTTGTCATTACTAACTTTTGCTCAACTTTTACAATCCGACTGGTAAGCTGTTCTTGGTGCGTTTGAGTATATGCAAGTCGTCTCTCCAGCTCTACCTTCAACTCTGCTGTCTCACTAACACCCTCTTCTTCAAACTCACAAACTTTTAGGTTCATGATTTCAAGTTCCTTTCTGATGCTACTTAACTCGGTAAGAAGCTGAACATTCTCCACCTCAATGTTTTGTCGGTCGTGCTCGAGGATCTGTAGTCGTTTGTCCGCTGATTGCTGACACAAGGCAATAGCGTTCTCCAGCTTGCCCTTATCTGTACGTAAAGCCTTCACTTGGGTCTGCAACGCCGCAACAAGTTCCTGACGCAAGTTTGCCACCTCCTTCCAATGTTCAATCGATTCATCAACTTTGATCTTCGTCGTCTCCAGCTCCTGATCGTCTTCTTGCTCATTACGTTCCATCTCGTATCTTGCATTCTTTAACTCTTGCAACTCTACACTCAGCATCTCTGCAGTGCCTCTCAATATCGTCAGCTCTTCTTCCAGCTCGCTCACCCGACGTAGACTTTGCTGTTCTGCTTCAGTCACGCGCTTTAGTTCAGACCGTAGCTGTGCTAGTGTGATAGAATGAGTGCCTTCATCATCACTGTCTCGTAGCACATGACGAAGCATTTGGTCAGCTTCTGCTTCCCGTTGCGCCTTTTCCGCTCGCGCCGCCACCTCCCGCGCCACCTGAACGTCCCTCATCAGCACCTCAATAATCTTTTCTGCTTCAATCATGTCAACATCTTGGTCTTGAAGCTCTGTTTGCAGTTGATTCACTTTACTCTCTAGCTCCTTGTATTTTACCTCATTCGAACGCTGCGTCTGCTCCATGAGCTCGTCATTGCGGCGCTTCAGTTTGTCCTTTTCTTGTCTTAAGCGATGGATCTCCGCATCTTTCTCTTGATGTCGCTTAAGCTCAGCGTAGTAGTAGCGGTACGAGAACGACGCGCCGCTTTTGATGCCCGACATTTCCATTAAGATCAAGTCGAATGAGTGCGGAATTGAAGTTGAAGTGACAATCACTCTTGTCCGCATTTCTGATCGATGTCACTATTTGTCTGTCACTCAAAACAAAATGCGATGGATGACTGCGCCGACTTGGCGAAGCTGTTGCTTCTTTACGAGAACCCAAAGTGTGCATTTGATGTCGATAAATAACGTAGGCAGAAGACGAGATGTTTCTAGTACACTAGGAAACAATGATGTTCACCTCGTAACTAGCACCAATCGCGAGAAGGGTTTAGCGTTTGAAGAGCAAGTTGTGACACTCATGCAGTCGTTCAACTGCGAGCTGCAGGCGACGCAGCAGTCACGAGATGGTGGCATTGACCACCAGGTTGGAACTTAAGCTCAACTCTTGTCTATTAAGGATCAATGAAAGCTAATGAAACGTTGTGGTTTGTTGCTGTTCTTTAGGGGTCATGGACATTGCCAGATTTGGAAGTAGACGTGGTGACACAATGCAAAAATGAGAGCAAACTAGTGAGCGTTCAATACGTGCGGGAGTTCTACGGCGTGCTAGGCTTCTTTCCATCGACTACTGTGGGGCTTTTTGCCTCGGCATCAGGCTATAGCCTTTATGCGCAGCGGTTTTTCCTCCGGACGACACACCCGGCAATTCTGTGCACCGTGGACATCAGCTCGGGTCGTCTCGCGTCCTTCTTGCTCAATGGCTCTGCCCAAACGCTGCTGCCGAAGCTCTCGGTAGGCTCCTTGTTTGTGAAGCAGGAGCATGCTCTTGTACTCATCTACGGTGACAAAATCCTTGGCTAAACTCGTCGCACCGCAACGCGTTGCTACTGCATTTTTTCAGGGTCCAATAGATTCCATGAGCCAGAAAAAGAGCGCGTAAACGTTGCACATCCCTCCACAGCTCAACAACATGTCAACGTCAGCTGTCACGTCGCCAATTATGGTTTGCTCGGCGACGTTTATTCCCGACATACAGTCCTGTGACTATTGGACCACTTTGATTGGTAAAAAAACTAAAATCGCTCTCCCACGGAGTGACTCACGTCACTGCCGCGCCTCTGCAATTACTCCAAGTTCCTCGGTCTCATGGCTGCATCGCTGGACCTTGCTAGCTTGCAATCCATGGCAAAGACGCTTCAAGGCAGTTTTTTGAGTCAGGTGTTGGTGCTACTGTTTCTCGTGCTGGTGCTGCGCTACGTGGCTGCATTCTGGCGCACCGGGTTGTCACCGTATGAGGTGCAGACGTGTCCGCCCATCAACCCGCATGTGCACTATCGCTATGGGGTATCGCAGATGCAGGGGAGAAGGCCATATATGGAGGATCGACACACAGCTATATCAGACTTGAATGGAGACCCAAAGCAAAGCTTTTATGGCATCTTTGATGGCCACGGAGGCGAGGGAGCTGCAAAGTATGGTAGAAAGTATTGCACTGGATTGGGGCAAAATGATAGTAGCTAATGGCTTGCTTGTTGTAGTTATTGCGTGCAGGCAATGTGTCAGAATGTGATCCGAGAGCCGATGCTTACTAAGGAACCTGTAGAAGCTTTGAAGAACGGATTCCTGCGTACAGATCAAGAGGTTTGCACGTGTTTGCAGTGGTATGCTGTCTATTGGCATGCTATACTAAATAAGTTGCTATCTGTTGCTGCAGTATTTACAGATTGCTAACCACAAGAACTCAGAGGATGGAACGACGGCAGTTGTAGTGCTTACACAGGGCGATGAGATGTTTGTGGCACATGCGGGTGATTCTCGAGCTATATTGGTACATCGTAGTGGTAAGGTGTCAGTGTTGACGTCAGATCACAAACCGAATCGACCGGACGAACGCCGTCGAATTCAAGAGTTAGGAGGCTCAGTTGTGTTTTGGGGCGTATGGCGCGTAGAAGGTATCCTTGCTGTGTCCCGGGCGATTGGCGACCGCATGCTCAAGCCGTTCGTCGTTGCAGAACCTGAAGTGAAACAGTTTACACGAACGGATGCAGATCGCTATGTTGTGCTAGCTAGTGACGGAGTGTGGGATACGGTCTCGAATGAAGATGTAGCTCAACTGGTACTCAAATACGAAGACCCACAGGCTGCAGCTCAGCGCATTATGGAGGAAGCATACGCACGAGGAAGTATGGACAACATTTGTGCAATGGTGATTGACTTGAGAGCGTAAGTAGATACTTATATCCGATTCTAGTTGTTACAGAAAACCTTTATTGACTTGTCTGTATGGTGATGATGGATGAATTCAGAGAAAAGATAGAATGTTCTGCCACTGATAGATAATTTGACCGGCCTGGCCATAGAACGTGGAGATATAAGAACTTGTCAATAGTCGCGCAACTTGTCAATGTTTTTGCGATGCTTAACAGTCAAGCAAGCAGATCATGAAACAAATAAATGGATGGCAATCGTGCGTTCACAAGCATATGATGATGGTACAAACTTCGTTTGTCATATGCTCGTTCCAAGCTTGCAGCCCAATCTACCGAAAGGAGCAGAAGTGCTGATGCGAAGCATTAATCTTGTTGTGAAGGGAGACTGTAGTTATGAACGTCGATAGTTCTTTTCTCGTAGTGAATGACGTTATACGAAATGGTCGTTTTAGTTCCTTATATCTCAAAAGACCACTCACAGAACGTCATTGACACCAACAATGCATTACCACGTAGGATCATAAACACTATCAAAATATCCACCTGTTTTTTGTGTTCATCTGCGACAATATCTACATATCCAGCGTCGCGTGCTGTATTTTCATCCCTCTTTGGAGAATAAACGGCAAGCTAAATGATAGTGCATCTAGAAAAATGTCCATATTGTTTCTGATAAATCAGACCCTTACAACAGCATATAATAATAATCCTAACATATAAATGGATTTTCTCTCCACATAATACAAACTCCACACGACTCGTAAACACTTTCTCTCGCTCTGCTTTAAGATCAAAGTCTAAGCACCAGGACGTGCCATATACACAAGTATATAGAACTCATGGGCGAAAGCTTGACCATTAGGTATGTGGCGCAGTATCATATATTTATCTCGATCCTTGTATATTCAAAGAAAACAAGGCAAAGAAAGAGGCGTCTCTACCAGCTTTATCAATCGACTATAAACTGCTACTAACTCTTGTGCATTCTTGTTTCTCCCCCTTCCCTTCCCTCCCTTGCATGTGCCTAGTAGACTGTTTGTATGTACACAAACCTACGACATTCCATGTGACCCTCGACAGTCTATCAAGTGGCTCTTAATGCAGGCGAAGACGATCCAGCGCTCTAATCAGAAACATTTATTGCCAGAAGATGAGCTTGAGGTGCTATTTAATCGCACAACTCGTCAGGTACTGAATCTAGAAGAATCCATTGGCAGCAGTGTTTCTACTATGGACGTGGTTGAAGCACGTACTCTGCTGCAGACACCTAACAATTCACACAACAATGCCATGTTGCCATGGTTTCGATCGTATCCAGGCAGTTTACAGCTCTCATCGGACAAGATTGACTCGTCCAATGGTCTCTTTTTCCAGCAGTTACACGCCTATACATTGATTGGAAAACGCACGCCTGTGTCGGCTGTTCAACTCAAGCAAAAACATGATCAGGACGCATTCCTGGCACTAGTGCATACGTACGTTACGGGAAATTACGATCAGGACAATAGATCACGACCACAGGCACCGAATACAATAGGAAATGGAAGAAAATTAAAGGGTAATGAAGGCTGCTCAACAGCTTCTTCAGGAATGCACGCCGCATCGTCACGAGAGAACTACTACGCTGGAACAAGACGATCACCGGTGCTGCCATCGTCTGCGTATCCTCCAAAACATGATCCGAGTGGCTTTTCAGATTCAGGATCTGACAGCAGTGTGGAAGACTTGTCGTCGTACCCGGCTCGGTCTTTACAAACAAACGAACACGGTGTACCTCAAAGTGTTCTCACGCCTTCGAGTCCTGTCCACGTGCCAACAGTTTCGTCTCCGTCAATCCCTCGTCCCGACAACACATTAGATGGTCTGGAGAATGTATTCGATATTGTATTCAAGCAACAGGCTATTGGGATGAAGCTCGGTGCGGACGAGACCAAACAGTACGCAATTGTGAAGGAGTGCTTTGATGGGTCCGAAGCAAAGCGGTATCCCGAGATTCAGAGCGGTGTGGTTATTTTGGCGGTAAATGGGCAAGAGGTGAGTGGCCTTGGCTTGTCACGCGTGCTGTATCGATTACGAGAAGCTCCACGTCCTGTGGTCGTTCGCTTTGGTCGTATGTCGACTCGTCAGCTACAAGAGCGACGCAAAGCTCGTGGTCCGTGGTAATACGATTTTGTAAACATGTAACGAGAAGCTTTACGTCGGTGATTAAAGCAGAATTAATGAATTAATAGCCCTCCGTGGTCTACGCTTGTTAATCTACACGACTGTTGCAAGAATGTACTGCTAGAGCCTACATACGTATTTGCTCATGTTACTGCCATAAAAAAACTTTTTTTACACTTTGTACGGAAAACGTTGCTTTCTTTTACAGCTCGCTGTTTATTAACGTACTCTATCCATGTCCACTTTTCAAATACAGCACGATATTGATCAAGTTTCGTCTTTCGCAACCTTATACGAACCTTATTTTCCCTCTAACCATGTCGACTCCATCCTTATCTCCAGGGTCTACTACTCCATCAAATGCTACTATAACTCAAGAAGAACTCCATCTACGTCAATTACTTCAAGACCTACACATTAATACAGGTGATGTCGTGCTATTTGATCGTCAATGTTCATCCATGGGTCTTTATGGTAGCGCTCTTTGTATCTGTGCGAAATTCTTTGGACAAACTCAATGGGATCATAATGGTGTAATCATTCGAGCACAACCATCACCTTCTTCTTCTTCTACCTCCTCCTCTATTGATACACGTGGTATTGATGATTTATTTCTATTAGAAGCAACATTAACAGGTGTTAAATTACGACCATTGGTTACTCGTCTCTTACGAAGTCGTAGTCATGAAATTGCGATCCGTCCATTACAAGTACCACGTACAATAAAACTGGAACAAGAAGCTCTTACATTTGCCTTTGAGAGTTTACATGCTCCCTATGAAGACAATCCTGCCAAGTTTTTCAATGCAAGTGTCTCTGTTCCAAAGAAAAGTGTTCGTGAACGAATGTTTGGAGCTTATATTGCAACAAAGAAAGAATTAATCCGACTAGACACGGAATTAGAACATCGTGATAAAATGCCATTGTTTGAAAGAAAAGCATTGTTACAAGAACGAGAAGCTGTGAATGGACGATATCAAGCACTTGGAACTAAACTCAAGAGTACGGAACGATCCGTGTTTGAAAATGCTGTGGTTGAAGCAGAAGTGAGAGTCACCAAGATGTTTTGCTCGCAATTGGTTGCAAAAATGTATCAAGACATGGGACTCTTGCTTCCATATCCATCGGCAAATTCGTATTTGCCCAAGCATTTTAGTGCCCGAGATGGAGGAGATTTCTTGCAATTGCAACAAGGAGCAAGTTTCTTACCGGAGATTTCATTACGAAAGACGCTCGAGACACAAGTTGAAAGATTTGCGACAAGAGCAAAGGAGGTGAAGGAACGAGGACCACGGACGGCAACGGAGATTGCTGCTATTGTACATTGTTTACGACGTCATCAGCTTTTTCATACACTGAATGAGTCCGAATTATTGGCAACAGCATCGCAGTTTCGACGGCGCGTATTGACAAATGGAGAGGTGGTCTTTTATCAAGGAGATGCAGGCGATTATTTCTATATTATTGAGCGAGGAGATTGCGATGTCTTTGTTGACTATAACTTTGCCAAGACACAAAAAGCACTGCAGACAGCAGACTCGAACAGTGCTCCAAATCCAGAGCATCAACGAAAGATTGCACTTCATAAGCGCAAAACGCTTGCCCTGCCTGAGTTTAAGTCATCATCAAGTCTTGTAGGCAAGAACGAGCGCGTTCACGTAGCTACGAAAGGCCCTGGCAACGCTTTTGGAGAATCGGCACTTATGTACGATACGCCACGACGTGCAACTATTCAGGCTAGCACTTTTAACTCGGATGATGAAGAAGAAGCTGTGGTTGTGTGGCAACTAGACAAGAATACGTTTTGTGAGATTCTGGCGCGTCATCCGGGTACTCAGCAGTCTTTAGAAGAGCGGCGTTTTTTGCTTGAGGCATTAGAAGACCATCCGTTATTTGCCGAGCTTGATGATCATGCTAAGGCATTAGCTGTACGCAAGTGTTTTCCACTGAATGTGCGAGTAGGTACAACTATCTTGCGGCAAGGCGAGCCTGGTGACTACTTTTATCTTGTTGAAAGCGGTCGTTGTGAGGTGTCCCGTCGCAAGCCAAAAGCAGCGAAGCCTTTTGTAGACCGGGTGATTGGACGTGGTGCTACTTTTGGAGAAGCTGCGCTGTTGTACAATAGCCGTCGCGGTGCCTCGGTGAAGGCGCTTGACGATGCCAAGATATGGTGTATGGACCGCGCAAGCTTTGTCACAATTACGCGCAGTGGTTCCAGTGCCTTGCATAGTATTTTTCGAAAAGTAGGCACCACAGTCGTTTCCGGCTTAAACGAGAGTTTTGCTACGGAACGTGATTTGCGTCGTATGCTGACAGACGCTCAGAAGACGCAATTGGTAAAGCAGAGCACTAACGAGGATGACGACGAAAACGAAGAATATGGAAAGACAATGGCACATTCTACTCCACTGCCATCAGTGGATGCCTACAATCGTGCAGTACAGCTCGCATTGGCACTTTTGCTCAACGATCCATCCGGACTAGTTAACTTCTCTCAGTTTGCGCACTTCCACATCGCTTTGGGCGCTTCTAATATTGACCAGCTCCTTCCAGAGGCTGCTTTCCGTGTGCTGAAGTCGGTGACAGATTCGTATGATGGCGTTAGTAGCCGCCCCTCAATACCGTCTACTACATCGCCTTCTGTTTTTAACCAGGACGATCCAGACCAATCTGCTATCAAACTAAACGATCTTCCTCGTGCTCTTCATCAGTGGATGTGTGGCAGTAAAACAGCGGAAGCCGTATCAAATGAGCTGGAAACGCCGGTGCAGATGACGCCTGGGCGCTTGGCATTCTATGAAAGTTTGTTTGAGTTGCCAGCGCATCAGTTTGGTGACCAGTATGTCACACACGACGATCTGGTGCGTGGAATTACAGCATTTGAAGCGGAGGATGCTCGATCCGAAAGTGAGCAAAGCGATGATCGGCCTCAGTCAGACGATGTTACGGCAGCCAAGGAAGAGTTTCGAGCATTTTTAGCTGCCCTCAAGTCAGATATCAGCGCGCTGCGCACCATCTGGCGAGCCGCTGAGCTACAAGCTGATGGTGGGAACCGTCCTAGTGACTTCAATGACCAGCAAGCGTTCTCGTTCAATGCCCGTCTTAAGTTAGGTTGGCTTTCTGCTCTTCGGCAAAACCCCACCGGCAATGATTGGGAACATCTGCAGCCCGAGATGGAAGACAACACTCAGGAGACGGCTCACAATGAAATCAATGCGATAATCCCAAGACAGCAGCTGACAGCGCAAGTCACTTGGTTCGCCGCTGCTATTGCCGCTGGTGCATTAGTTCGCACGGTGTGTGCACCACTGGAGCGGCTAAAAATGCTCATGCAAGTGCCCACCCCTAAGCCAACAGCTGCCTCAACTGTGACCGCTACAGCCAAGCTATTATGCAGTCCTGCCCCCTACACTTCATTAACGAGGGGCTTGCTGAACGTGGCAAAGCTCAGTGGACTGCGCAGCTTGTTTAGTGGAAATCTTACACACTGTATCTGGGTGGTGCCTTCAGTACCTGCGAAATTTGTTCTGTGGCATATCTACCAGGAACAGCTTGAACATTTGTTTCCTGACTCCTCCGCGGCTATCGATGCAATTGGAGTAGGTGGTCCTCGGTATTCTGCGAGTATGACTAACCTTGCGGCGGGTGGTTTCGCCGGTCTAACACTTCATTGTCTATTGTACCCATTGGATGTCATCCGTGGACGGCTCGCTGTGCAGCAATACTACAATGCTAACCGTCCTTCGAGTGGCATCATAGACTGTGCTCGCAAAATACGTGACAAGGAAGGCTTGCGTGGATTTTACCGAGGATTTATGCCTGCAAGCCTTGGTGTCGTCACCTACATTGGGTGCAATATTGCCTTCTACGAGTCTTTGCGGCCGGTGTTTGTGCTCTATGACAGAGAAGACACAAACAACCAGCTTGAAGTACCTGGTCAGATCTTGTGCGCCACCACGGCGTCGCTAGTATCACAATGCATCTCGTACCCGTTTGACGTCATTCGGCGGCGTGTTCAGCTACAAGGCGCTAAATGGCACCCAGAGCTCACGTTCGCATCGTACAAGAGCACGTGGCATTGTCTAAAGTTATCTATAGAGGCAGAGGGAGGTGGCATACGAGGTTTACGATCGCTATATCGTGGTTTATTCGTGAATGCGGTGAAGTTGCTGCCATCTACAATGATCTCGTTTGTCAGCTACGAGAAGCTGCGTGGAATGAAGCATAACGTTGATGACACATAGCTGATGTAAAATGTTGAGCACACTGCTACTAGTGACGTTGGCTTGTTAATTAAGATGGTTCATAACTTACGGGGTCAAGTTGGCGTGTTGAGGTCACTGTAATAAATTTGCAGCAAGCATTTCCGGTTGCAGCACCATCCAAGCAGGCTATTGAGATTCTAATCATGAGCACGCCGTATCTCGGTCTCCAACTCTTGTACCTTCATGCCCACGCGAATTAGCGAGGACAGAGAGCCGCCATACCGCTTATTCACACTGCAACGAGATGAAGCTGATGCCGTAGGGTTGCGGCACGACGCATCAAATCCATTCTGCTTGGTTGGGCTTTCAAAGTGCCGTTGGCTAACACTTTGCGATCGCAGTTTGCCGTCAAAGTAATCATTATCACGTGGAAGCCACGCAGATGATGTGTCATCTCGCTGCTTCACCGAGGCATTCTTGTCTCCAAGATCGACGCCCTCCTTCTTGACGCACTTCTTCTCGCTTTGCTCCTTCTGGAATACACCTACAATATTATTAACCACATCGTGCATTGCTTCAGAAATACGCACAGCCTCAGTGAGAAGCCGAGAGCATTTTTGGTCAACGTCGTCGACCCAACGAGGTTGGTCTTTTGTGCGACCAGATCCACGCGACACTGACTCCCAGGAATTTGTTTTACCATATTGTCGCTGCAGCTCTTGAGATTGCGTCAGGAAGTCACCCCAGCGCTCAGATACTGCGTGCATCCGGCCGACTAATGCATCCAGCTGTAAAATAGCTACCTCGAGTCTTTCCTCTTTGTCTGAAGCGTTGACTACAGAGCCACGAACAATCGAACTGTTCTCCAACCGCTTATATGTCTCCGTGATCATGTGCTGGGTTTGTTCCAGCTGCACCAGCAACGTCTTCTCCACCTCACCAAATTCGCCACGTCGCTTCAGCTGCTGTGCGTATTTCATCGCAACAGATTTGAACTTTTCGATGTCCTTATCGCGGCCAGCAATGGCATCTTTGTACGTTGCAATCGCCTTCAGTAGGTCTTTGTTCTCTCGAACCGCTTGCCTGTACTGATTCCGAGCATGTTCGACAGATTTCCGGCGCTCCTGAACCTCCTCAAACAGCAACCGATTACTTTCCTTCAAAGCATCAACGTCGTGTTGTGCTTCCTCACGAGGTCTTAGCTTCAGTGCCTGAATGTTGCGATTTGCTCGAGCAAGTGCCTCCTCTGCCTTGGTCATCTTGGTTTTGAAATACCGAATTTCTTCTTCAAGAGATTGTCTTTCCTCTTCCTTTCGCATGCGTAAATCTTCATATCGGATCGACCATGTCTTCTCAGCAGACTGCTTCGCATCCTTCTCGTGACATTGCAAGGCGTCCAGCTTGCTTTGACTGGAGCGTAATTGAGTAGCCAAACGTTCAAGCTTCGAGTTCATCATCAATGTATGTTGTTTCCAGCATGTCTGCATAGCTGTTGCCTCTGCTTTGAAGTCGTTCTTCAAAGCAAAGATAGCTTCCCGAACTAGGCTTACCAATGTTTGATGCCGGCGATCGCTATAGACAGGAGTGCAACCCGACAAGAGCGAGCGAAGCTCCATCTCCACTGTCTTAAGCTCTTGCTGTGCTGATGTGTTCTCATTCTTCAACGTAGTTGCCGCTCGCTCCACCTCATTTGCCCGTCGGCGTTCATCGCTCAGTTGTCGTAATAGTTTACTCTTCTCCGCAACAAACTGATCTTGCCATTCTCTCAGCTGCTCTCGTGCTACTCCTTCTGCTTCTGCCAGCTGACGCTCAAGATCTTGCATACGCCTTGCTCGTCGAGCCAATTCAGTTTCACAACCGGCAAGCTGTTTCTGATATTCTTGCAATTGAGCAGATTGCCTTTCCAGGTCTACTTGACACACAGAAAGACGATGGCACTGTTCCTGTGCGTTCGCAGCCTCACTTGAAAACCTCTTCTCGCTAGCCTGAAGCTTATGCTCCATGGCCTCAAGTTCCATCTGAAAGCCCGACAACTCTTCGCGCAGTCGACAGTTGTCTTCTTCCATGGCCCGGCGGTCTTTCTCCAATGCGAGTAACCGCTCGTTCGACGTATACTGGCAGCGCAACTTAGACTCAAGCTGACGAATAGTTTCTACGGCAACTTCACGGTCAGTTTTGATGCCGTCTAGTGACTTCATTAGCTCTTCATAGGCCGTGGTCAGCTTGACATTCTCCAGACGTAACCGTTCCGTCTCGCCAACAAATTGCTGTCTCTCTTTAGCAATTCGCTCGAAGTCGGCCTTCAATCTTTCACGCTCTTGTTTCATGTTATCGTTCACCATCGCATGCCGCGATTTCTCGGTGAGTTCAGCATGTTGTAACCTGCTCTCCAACGTCTTGATCGTGAATTCATGTTCCTTCTCGAGCATACGTAGTTGGTGCAGCTGCGACTCAAGCTGTTTAATAGTGTCCAGAGCCACTGGTCGATCAGCTTTAAAGCTATCAATTGCCTTAGTCTGTTCTGCTGAGTCTGCCAACAGCTTTGCATTCTGCAAACGTAAATTTTCCATCTCGCCAACAAGTTGCTGCCGCATTGTTTCCATTTGCAATTGCAACGCCGTCATCTCTTCCTCTCGTTCGGTACTTACAGCTTTCCAATGCTTTATCTCTGCTTCAAGTTCGGTCCGAATCATTTCCATCTTTTCTTGAGCCTCCTGTTCTCTCTGACGCTGACATTGTGTCATCTCGCTCTCTTGTCGTCGTTTTGCATCCTTCATCTCTTCTAACTGCGTCATGAAAGTCTGTACAACTTGCTCCTGTCGTTCCAATTGTTCCTGTAGCATCTGCATCGTGTCTTGACTTTCTGCCTCTCTCTTGCGTGCATCTTCCACTTGAGATTGCCATTTCTCCGTCAATTTCGCTTCCAAATCACGCTGTTCGTGACGAAATTGTTGTCGCTGAGCTTGCACTTGACCCTGTGCGTGTTTCACTTGATCTTGCGCCTCTTGTAGTCGATTTGATAGTAAATCCATCGCTTCCGTTGCTCGTATCATACTAAAATTACGTTGTTGTAAATCACGCTCTCGTTCATCTAATAGTAATCGTAATTGAATCATTTCAGACTCTAAATCTTCACTTCCAAATCCAAGACCTTGATTGAAACGTAGTAATTGTTCTTCCAAGTAATTAATTCGTAGCGCTTGGTTGAAATTATCCATACGTAATCGTTCCCGTTCTTTTTCTTGTTCACGTAATAAAATACTGGCATGATGACGTGTGGGTGTACCATACTCATCACTACAATCATCTTGTATATATGAACTACCTTGTGGTCCTGGTGATGGTGGTGGTGTCTCCATTAAAGAGAGAGAGAGAGGTGAGCAAGAGGGCGAGAGGGACTTTTATTACCTTGACGTGGTTTTTTTATATAAATGACCAATCTGTTGTTTTAGACGTTTAATTTGAGAATTTCTTTGAAATTTTACGCGTGTTTGTATGGAAAAAAAAGTAAAAACACACACGACACGGTGGACCATAGAAATAATCCGCGGGCTTTTTCTGTTTTTTTGAATACTTGATGGCTATATGTGGGTTTTTCGTTTATATGGGTGTTTGATATGGGTTTTATATAAATACAGCGTGGTGTTTGATATGGGTTTTATATAAATGCTTTCGTGTGGACGGTGGCTGCTGCTCTTTCAAGTCATTTTCTCTCATTCAGCTTCTTCTCTTGTGTTGATTATTGTTGGGCTCTTGTTGACGTAAAACTTCCATGTTTTTTGCAACAGCAGAGGAGCTAATGTCAATGCATCATGTAGCAACGAAACATGTATACACCATAGTTTTGCAACCTATTCGTTTTTACTTCTTGATCTTCAGCACAAGCGGATGGATTACCTAGATAATGAAAGGCAAAGACAGCATCTGAAAACACTTTATGGTTGGGTCCATCATGCGCGGCCGTTTTCCAGTGGCTTCGCTGGCGTCTCACGGTTTTCCCTCGACTGTCTCATTCACTCTTGCATCGACTGAGAAATTAATCAGTTACGAAGTGGCCATATCTAGGGCAACATCAACAGCCGCATTTACGCGTACAAATCCTCAATAATCGATTCGTACTTCTCGTGCACAACCTTGCGCTTCAGTTTCAGCGTAGGCGTCAGCTCGTTGCCAGAAATGGAAAAGTCGTGGTCCAGTACAACATACTTGCCCACGTTCTGCGCACGCGACGTGGCGCGAGCGTTGGCACGCTTCAAGCCAGCATCCAGGTACGCCTTTACCTTCTCGTCAGCACGCGCGTCCGAGATCGTCGTAGCCGAGCTGCCAATTTCCTTCATAATGCTAAGCGCCTTATCATCCAGCGTATCCGTCGGATTGCCTTCCTTGTCTACCGTCACACGTAGCGTAAACACCGCAGCCAAGAATTTGCGGCGGTCGCCGACTACCATCGCGTTCGACAGCAGCGGTAGCTCCTCCTTGATCGTGTCCTCAATGATAACAGGCGGGACATTCTCACCACCAGCAGTAACAATGAGCTCCTTGATACGACCCGTAATCGTCATAAAACCGTCCTTGTCGATCTTTCCGCAGTCGCCTGAGTGTAGCCAGCCGTCCTCGTCAATTGTTTCCTTCGTCTGCTGTTCACCCTTAAGGTAGCCCATCATGATGTTGCGACCGCTGAAGATTAACTCATCCGTGCCTGGCGCCACCTTGGTCTCCGCGCCGTCAATGGTAATGCCGCACGTGCCAATCTTCCACTTGCCCTGCATGCTGCACGTCTGCGGGCCGCTAGCTTCGCTCTGACCAAAGAACTCGTACACAGGCAGGTCTAACGAACCAAAGTACTCAACGATTTCGCGGCTGATAGGTGCAGCACCACTGAAGCTAGCAACGCATTGGTCCAAGCCAAGCGCCTCCTTCACACGCATGAGCACAATAGAATTGGCGATGCCAAAACCACATGGTGCACCTCCCGAGTTGCCGTACTGAGCAAGCATCATCTTTTGCGTCGCCTTGTCCTTCGCCCATCCCACCAGGCGCTTCTTCATGCCCGTCGTCTGGGCCGCAATCGACCACATCTTTTCGGCAATCTTTTCCCACACACGAGGCACACCGAAGAAGAACGTCGGGCGTACTTCTTTCAGCGTAGCACCCAGTGAGCCCTTTAGCGCGTCAGGTTGTGCGAAATACACCTGCAGACCGCCACAGACGGGCAGCCAAATATCAATCAACTGGGCAGCAACGTGAGACATCGGCAGGTAGCTGACGAGGCGGTTTCGATTGTCCATCTTGTGATTAAAATTGCGCTCAACCATGCCAATCACACTTAGGATAGTCCACACAACATTGTCGTGTGAGATCATAACGGCTTTCGGGTCGCCAGTCGTGCCCGACGTGTAAATAAGTGTGCAGCAGTGGCCTGGCTTCTGGGAGTCCATGACTTCCTTGAGGGTTTCGTCCTTCACGTCTTTACCAAGCTCCATAAAGTCCTCAAACGTGTAGACAGGTATAGCTGACTTGATTCCCCCAGGCACGACGTCATTCCACATTACAATTGCCTTAAGCTTTGGCAAATTCTCCTGAATGGCCAAGAACTTCTCCAGTTGCATCACACCATCACAAACAACGACACCAGAGTCCGAGTGTTTCGCGATAAACTCACACGCTTTGGGATTGTTCGTCGTGTAGATGCCAGCAGCTACACCACCAGCAAAGATAGCACCAACGTCGGCAATGACCCATTCAGGTGAGTTAAAACCAATAATGCTCACGCCCTGATGACGTTCAAGACCGACGTGCAACAACGACTTGGCAAACTGACAACACTTGTCATAATACGTCTGAAACGAATACGATTTCCTACACAAGACCATAAAGATACCAATAATGTGTTTGTCCACTAGTTAATTCAACTGATTATACACTCCATGGCGTGTTTGACACAACAATCCACGTACCATTCGCCGTCCTGTTTATAATTAAGTGCATCAGCTGAACTGTACTTTGCCAACGTGTTCTGAAACGCTTGGGAGGCTGTAAGAGCGGGGCGCGCACCGGCGCCAGTCTCTGCCATACGGATCGTCACCTCGTCATCAATATTCCACGTCTATAGATGACGTATTCAAATGTCAGTCAATACGATAGCGCATGAAGTAACGCAATAGAAACGTACAGTATATTTTGAAGCCATAGGAAAAAGCAGTCGGATTTAAAAGGAAAGGGGTTTCTTCTTCTTCTACTGTGTTGGATGTTGCAAATTCCGCACTGAGAGTCCTTACAATACAAAAGAAGAGTGATGGTGAAACTCCCTAGAGTGAAACGAACTTTACATTTCTCTTAGAATTTGTATGTACTACATATTTTCAAGGAAAAACGTATTATTGTAACCAATCAAACCTCGCTATTGATTTGGTAGACGTACATGGCCGAGGCAGTTTAGGTTTTTGTCCAGCTATGGACAAAGCACAAGCGTATGTTTACGATAAAAGTTATGTCGTAGCTACATGCGCCTTGTTTTAGTAATAACAACGAGAAAATATGAGGAAGAAAAGTATTGATTATTCTGTAAGAATAGCAGCCATGTTTCCAGTCAACAATATATATTACACATAATATGGTGATGTAGATACAATAGTTTGATTAGCAAAGGAGAAAAAAACTGGTCAAAGTAGCAAGGAAAAATCCTGGTTGAGAGTAAATATAATCGAATACACGATTGACGATGAGAACCCTTTTGCTCGTGACAGCATGTAGTAGTAGTGATGATATGTAAAGCAAGTCAGTCACGCAGAAGCTTCGTGACTGCAAGACGATAGCGCCTTGTCGTTGTTACTGTGAACATCACAAGCGACAAGATTATCGAATCCGCATTCTCTGACCCTATTTTAGCATCTGGTATGCGTTTTGAAAAGATATATCAGCTCTATGTTCTAGGTGCCTACCATATAGACTATATATTGGACGTGATACTGGACACCCCTAGTCGTCGTGATTAGGCACTAATGTTACTGTCACACGGACTTCAACTTGAATATAAAAACACTGTAGTCTCAACTAACAAAACAAGCACACGTATACATTGATCAAGGTATAATACATACACTTGTGTTCTAACAAGGTATCCAAAGCCAGTCAGTCCATTATGCTCAATATTTGATACTACCAGTCCACCAAAACCTTCAGTGGACATGTGATCTGATACTATTGGTGTCCAACGATTACGTGTTAACTCTGTATCAGCTCGTAATCAGTAACAGTAAAGCTAGGGCTATCTGCTGCTCCATATTGAGACTCATGGTGCATGTGCGTGCTTTTCGATCATTCTGCATCACCACATCAAAAAAGACCCTGTATTAATCAGGATGAACCATCTGCAGCAATACAACCTGATAATACTTTCACACATCCAGTTGTTTTAATCTCATGTTTGTAGGTTCTTGAGTCGAGTTGTATCAATAAATCATCATTCATTCCACAGAGCTCTGTGAGCTCACCTCAAAGTGGCTGTCGGTATCGTCATAACTGTGCTCCAATGGTGAGACGCCTAGACATAAAAGTGAGTGTCAGCGCAAAGGAAAAGTACTTCCCACTTATGCATAAGACTTACATTCATCACGCGAGGACGACGTCTGTGACACGTGGTCGACATCTTCGTTGACATCTACCATCGATACACTATCGAAATCAAAGTCCAAGCTGCTGGAGCTATCCTGCATTTGATCCGGAGGTAGAGATTGCACCCTTCGAGCAATCGACTTCGTTCGTCTTCCAATTGGTGGTAGTTGATGACTCACCGGTAGCACCTGCTGACGCTGGAGCTGTTGATGCGTGCGCTTCGTTTGCAATTGGGCTTCTCCTTCCATGCGCTGGCTTTCGATGAATGCCTTAAACTGCCGTGATGCATTTGGAGGTGGGGTTCGGCTCGTGCTCATTTGGACCGCTAGGCTCTTGGACGCGTCAGCACGTCGGTCTCCAGCCATCCATGAATTTCGCCTTTCTTCACAGGTCCATGTGAATCGCTTTCCTTTTTCCACTGCTGCTGCAAAACCTGGCATGTTTCCCATAACATCCGAAAAAGTGACTTCTGGGCTGGGCAATGGGATGTGAGACTCCCAATCAGTGTATTTTGTCAGCGGCTGACTTGCGCGCCAAACGGCAGCTTGACGAACAGCTTGTGATAGTGACCGCATCGACCTGGCATTATCGCTCGTGCCAGCCGCATGCTCCTCAATCTCATCCAAAAACATTCGTTTCTGAGCGGCCAAACGTGTTGGAGTCGGTTGCCCTCGGAGGGGCAGGGTCGAAGCGGAATCTGCAGTAGAAAAATGATCTCGCGTGTGCGTACCGCTGAGCAAACTGCCCACAACTGTCGTCTGTTCATCTTCATCGTCTTCATCACCATTTCTTTCATCATCAGCTTCACGCCCCGCGTCTTCCTCTTCCTCCTCTTCACTGCTTGATGAATCCTCACCCTGGTCGGGACCAGGAGCTCCAAACGTATCCATAGTCTGTTCGGCAAGCAGCCGACGAAGTAACAACCGTTTTGAAACTTTTTGCTTGAGAAGCGGGCGCATCGCCTTGCGCACACCCTTGCTTGACCACGCTTTCTTGATAGAATTCTCGTGTTCACGCGAAAGCATGACAAACTTTCCGATTTTGTCATCCTCGAGCTTTTCGCCACGATCCAGTTTCCTCAGTACGCGTATCAAAGTGCTCTGAATCGTAGCAATACTGCGGTCAACATTGGTATTGTCAATCTTGGGAATAAGACACCGATCTGCGTGCTTGCAAAGGTGGCGCTGTATGATTCGAATGTTGTCAAAGTGTTTGATGTACTTATTTTCCTGTGGGTCAATCGTCATATGACGCGCGCGTACAGCAAAACGGTCGCGGTGTTTGTTCTCGTTGCTAATGTAAATCACGAACGGTACACAAGTTGGATGCTTTTTGACAAGCATCAACAGATCGTTCGTATTCAAATGCACTCCTTCCACAACCAATGACTGTTTTCGCTCTTCAAACATCGTAAGTACTCGATCCAGTTTTTCTAGCACTAGACCCGACTGCATTTTGTAACCCTTTAGCACCATCTTTTTGTGTAACCTCGCGCTTGACATATCTTCACGATCACCCTGAATAGCTGCTATCATTTCCGGTGACAAGGCATCTCCAGCTTGATACGTCGACACAAATGCACACGGGTTCTCTTCCTTTGACGTAAACGAACGCAATACATGCCGTACTGAATCGGTCGGTAGCACCGTCGTTAATCTTAATCTTGCTGCCAGTAATGACGCCAACGTGGATTTTCCTGTGCCTGAAGTACCTCCTAGCAATACTGCAAAGCTCTGATTTCTTTGTGTAATCTCCTTGGCAACTTCAAAGTCCAATAAATGATGTGGCTTGACATAATCTAATCTTGCCAACGACGTATAGATACATTGATGTAATAAATGCCATTCCATTGCCAATCGCTCTTGCTCCTCTTGTTCTTCCTTGTTATTATCATTCTTACTACGATCATTCGTATTCCGTACATGACCGTTGCTTTTTTTCACTTGATGCTGCATAAATACTTCAAAAACCTCCTGTGTAACAATAACTGCATCTTTAGGTCTACATCCCATAAGCATCAATGTCTCTTGTAATCGATAACGTGTAAAACTCGTGCATTGTCCCGCTCGTTTCACATGTAGTAACTCCATGGGATCAGAGCTATCACTCTCCGTCTCGACAGCGTCCATCGTACCCAATAAAAACACGTTTTTCAATCTAGTTGATATGATGAATAATGACTGACCAAGAACAAGTATCTGATCCTAGCTCTTCTTCCTTTGCTTAACCTCTTGATAATTAATTAGTGTCTTTAATAATGAATGACGCATGGATTCCAAACGACATGATCATATTAAGTACGAATGAAGCAGAATATAAGCTTTGGAGATTTGAATTAGATCGGTTTTTTGATGATGATCAATACCGGTACCGAAAGAAATAGACGGTATAAGAGAGAAATACAACACAAAACAGAGCTTGGAATAGAAATGACCCGATGACAACTTTGTAAGTGCTTTAGAGCAGGAGCAAGGAAGTACTGAATTTGGGTGGTTGGTTCGTTCATTTATTGTTTAGATAATGATATTGTTGTAATGTAAATATTATGGTAGTTCGTTCGTTAAGATAACAGACGTCTATATCTAATCATACGTGTCCTACAACATCTGTCCACTTTGAGTATTTCTTCCCGTCAAAAGTTTCGTATCCGCCACAAACTGTGTCAAACCAACGACTTTGCAAGATGTTTGTTCAAGAAAGACGTCATGACGCGTGACACTCTAACTTACGTCAGATATACATACATACATACAGACACACACGTCGTATCATCATGGCTTGTGTGTCACAAAAGACACAAAAGACGTCATTTCTCGATACAATATATATATCTATCTGTCCTAAATGAAATAGCCTTCTAACTGTCAAAAATACCGGTTAAAACGAACAGTATACACACATCCCTCCATCCTTACTCACCCCACCTTTCATCCTATCCTCAATCTATACTTTCGTCCTGTTGTATACACAGACACGACAGACACGACAGACACGACAGACATACATCCATACGTTGGTCCATAAAAATTCACCCCTCCCCCCTTATAATAAAGTGTATCATTATCTATACTTGAAGGAGAAGTAGCACTAGCAGTAGTAATAGTAGCAGGCAGTAGTAGTCATCATCGTCGTCTCTCTCTCTCTCTCTCTCTCTCTCTCTCTCTTCTCTCTGTCTCTCTTTTGTTATAGTAATATGACAAGTAAACGTTTAGATGCAGTAAAGCTAGCCAAGAGTTCACGTTGGGATGAATTACGACGTCTTGTTGATGTAGAACCATTAACAGCTCAACAAGTAGATTCCTATGGTATGTTACCACTTCATTGGGCTTGTACGGAACCTCAATCCATAAGTGAAGGTGTCTTATTAGCGTTACTTAAGGCCTATCCCATGGGTGCACGTGTATTAAATACAGCCGAGATGTTACCATTACAAATTGCAATTAAAGCACAAGGACGGATTGAATGGTTACAAGCATTATTAGCTTCTTATCCAGATGCAGTCTTAAAGAAAACACCAAATGGTGAAAATTCATTGGAACTGGGAAAGAAAGCAGGTTTACCATATCGTAGTATGAAACTATTGGAAGAAATGTATCATCATGTGTGTGCAAAGGAAGGAATACCGGATCAATTGATGATGGAAGAACAAGAAGTGAAGAAATTTATTGTAAAAGAAGAAGAAGAGGAAGAAGGAGGAGGAGGAGGTAGAGAAGGTCAGGAGCAAGAGGTCGAAGAAGAATTACGACCATCGGAAAGGTTTCAAGCGATTGCAGGAGATTTACCAGTGTATCAAAAATACAGTTATGGTATCCACTTTGGACAACAACGACCACGTCGAATGAGCAGTACAGCATCCTTAAAAATGCGATCGTTTTCAGATAATGAATTCTATACACAACCGATGAATGTCATGTTTCATGCAAATGGATTAAGTCCATGGTCACCACGGAGAACTGTGACGGAAAGTGTTAGACCACAGTCGATTGTATCCCAACGACCATCAACAACAGTACGAGGTACTGTGTCGTTACCACCACGTTGGATGAATGCACCAAGTTGTAGTATCTGTTCTCAGAAATTTGGTACTTTCAAGAAACGACATCATTGTCGTAATTGTGGACAATCTATCTGTCGAGACCACTCGGCACGTGAACGGATGAAATTACCTCATTATGGACTAAATGATCGCCATCGTGTATGTGTTGTATGTCATGATATGCTGCGCAATGCTAGTCGCCAAATGAATCGACAACAGACGTTTATGCCTACTGGACAGCGCGTTGGCCCGCATTCGCGAGTTAGTCAGGCTTTTGGTGGCGATGCTCGTCGTTCGGATGAAGCGCAGCGTTCGCCACCGGGAATGCTCGAACGTCATGTATCAGCACCGGCACGCGCATCAAACTCCATCGGTGTACCCTACCGAGCTGGAAATGAAGCTGCCGTCAATGAACAGGTCGCAAATCTGCAGAAACAGGTCTCACAGCTCATGGAGGAGAAGCAACAAGCAGAGATGCAGTTGCGTGCTCAGGCTGAAATGCTGAACGATCCCGATCGTCTCACGAATGTTTCTCGCAGCAGCAATACGAGTGGTGGCAGCGGTGCTGGTAGCATACCGATGTCGCGTGATCGTCAGAACTCTTTACCGATGCCGATGCACACAAACTCCTCTGGGTCAGCTACACCCTGTGGAGGTCCAGTGCCTAACCCTGGCATTTCGATGTATCGCTCCACAGGTCAACTTTTATACAAAACCCGGAGCGCTGGCAATTTTCGGCTAGCACGCGAGATAGATATTGATAGTCCCGACTTTGATAATCTCCAATTACAACAACAACAAAAACAACAACGCCATCAGCAGTCGTCGCGTTCCAACTCAAATGCGGTAAACCCTGCACTGCAAAGGACGACACGGCTCCAAGATGCATTAAACACAATTGCCGCTGTAGAGTCCACCTACGACGACATTGATGGATCGGATTCCGATTCTGATATTGAGGGACGCCAGACCGACATTGAAGACCTTCATGATGCTGATGCTGAAGTTGACGATGTTGTAACGGAGTACGTGATTGATGATGAGGAAGAGGAGGATGACGATGATGACGAGGAAGCGGTAGTGGAAGCAGCCAAAGCTGCAACTGTTGCAGCAAGCGACGAGGCACAAGTGGCAGGCGAAGTGGGCGGTGACACGTTGCCAGAAGTGGACGTGCTAGTGAGTCTTGGACACGTGATGATGGAAAAAGGCAGCGTTAGTGCTGCAGTACAGGCATTCACGCGTGCTGTGGAAATTCGACCGGATGATCCCGCTCTTCATTCGCTGCTTGGTCGTGCCTACTATGCTGACGAAAATCTGGATGCTGCAGTGGCTTCCATCACGAAGTCATTGTCTCTCGAGCCGTCTGCGACAAACTCTACACTATTGGGTAAGATTCTCTTTGAAAAGGGTGACCATGAGAAGGCGATTGCGGCTTACCAGCGATCTCTAGACATGCAGAAGTAAGACAAGTAGGTAGGAGATGTGTTAGGTTTGCTCGGATGGATGATGTTTTGGGAAGCAAGACCGGACACAGCAGTAGCCCAATAGATAGATGATGGCATAGAGCAATTGTCCGCATCGCGAAGCAGTGTCAGTGACGAACGCCATTCACGTTCAAGTGTTCATGTAACAAAATGGCTTGATCAATATTCTTACTAGTTCATACGTGCTATGGCACAGTGGTAGCAGATCATCCAGAAGCGCAGCATGTCGGTTGAGCGAGCATGCGAATTCACTGGTAGAGCTGCAATGGGTCAAATGTACGGAACGATGCAACTTTGAATGTTGATGTCTTCTACAACTACATTTTCTGTCTAACTCCGTGGACTCCTTACGTCGCAAGCTCTTGTTGTTTCGCATGTATTTTCTGTACAAGTGCCAGACACATGAATTGTTTCCGCGAGAGTTTCCGTACTTCCTTCAAAAATACAGATAGTTCAATCTCATCGTTGCTCAATGCGCGATCCATGTAGTATAACGCGTCCTCAATTGAATGATGTTCTGCCAACGTCTTGACCATTCTGCGCAATACAAAAGCGTGAGAAACTGTCAAGTTTTTAGTCTTGCTACTAGCAAGTAAGAACGAAAACGTACTGTTTAGAAAGAATATCGCCTTCAATCAAGATCGTGTCTGGGTCCACCGTATCTTTGTCTTCATTCTCTTCAAGCCAAGCGGTGATTTCTTTATCCTGCGTCTCTAGAATACCTTGTGCACGAGCAATGTCATCACGTAGGAAACGCAATGACTGTAGCCCGCGCTCGACATTCTCCCGTGATTGTGTAAGCTGTACCGCATGCTCAAACTGCAAATCAATATCGTCGCGTACGCGATTAAAGATTTTTTCCAATTGTATCTGGATCTTCCCTGTCACTTCAGCTTTTAGTGCAACAATGCGATCTTCTGGTTTCATCTCATCTAATGTCCTTCCTGAGACAGCTCCACTAGAACTTGATAACGATGACCTTCCTCCATTTGATTGTTGGCTGCTTCGAAAACTTGAATCAGCTTCACGAAGTCCTCCAGCTGTCGCCACGTCCTGTCTCAACTGGGGCTGAAACTGCGAGGAATAATACGGTGACGGCTGCGGTGGATGTGTCTGTGCGTACGAACCCTGTTGAAAATATCCATCCGTGCCATTTTCACCACTTGTACCAGCTGAAGAACTCCCATCAAGTCGATTCGGATATGACGTTGGTCGTAAGTTCACTGGTCGACGAAAAACCGGTGGCATATTGCCAAAAATAGAGCACATATGAGCTACTAACTCGAGCATTGTAAAATCTGGTCTCCACTCTGCAATGTATGGAATCTTCACGTATCCATCACTTGTTACATGTGGATGTCCAGGTTTTACCATCATATCAGCCGTTGGACGTACGAAACAAACTGGAGAAGCGATGGGATACGTTTCAGCGACCCAAAACTCGACTGGAATATTGTATTGATTACCACGATAGAAAATAGGAATTGTTCCTTCTAAATTCAGTAATGTACTTGTTGTGCCATCATTATGAGCTACATGATAATGAGAAACAAAAAATAGACCAAAATAATCATTAGTATACCCAAAATAACATAAAAAAGGAGTAATGTCGTATAAAAAGACCATATTTAGGTCCTAAAAAAAGCTCTCAATTCCAAAAAAACTGACCAAATGTGCCACAATTTGGCTGAAGTGACGGAATTTGGCCAAGAAGATTATAAACGTCTTCACGTACACGAGAACTTTGCTGTTCATACAAGAAAAAATTGAGGAATTAATTGTATGATTACGTAATCATAAGATGTTGATTAATTATCATGAGAATGGAAGTAAACAATAGGAGAAAGAAGAATGAATGAATGAATGGAACACGCACGGGATAACACTGTAAAGACGATAAGATCTGGTCCAGATTGCTCACATTATTAGCGTACATTATTAGTATTCTGACGCAAAAAAAAGGTGAGAATGCTTTGGTATTTTTGATGAAAATGTTACTTGAAGAAAAATCATTCGAGCAACATTCGTATCATCTGCCTAAAATTGTCATGATCGTACTTATGCGAAGAATATCACCATGAAGAAAAAAACCTCGATTGTATTTTCGTTGATGACGCAAGCTTTTCAGTGATTGCGTTATCCGTCTATGGCTACATGATTATTTTATCGTCCTGGCAAAAGCTCATCTGCCACTGGACGAGAGAACAATGGAGCTAGGACGTCTTTAGGACTTCCTAGATACAACAGTGCAAACCGACGAGGTACCAGAGCTATCCGCAATGGTCTATGAATAACTCACCCGTGCTTACTTTGACGAGACGTGAGCATACATCGACGTGTGGCGGCGCCTATGGATCATCCTGAGCAGCATATGCATTGCTCGCTTACAGTGATACAAGAAACCAAGCAACATTCCAGCAAGCGACCCGGAACATCGAAGGTAGCGTGCGGGAGACTTGGGAAGCTGGCGTGCAACAACGCCGTGCAATTGGTAACCGCGAGAGCCGACGTGAAGAAACGTCGATCAACGATACACGTCTGCTACTATGCCAGTGTATTATAGCACGGTAACCACGAGAGCCGTGGATGGGCAAAGGACAAGGCTACGCAAAAGATGTGCTTACTCATTGTGGCAACTCGGGAAGTCATCATGCATTGTGTGAAGGAGGCGCTTGGCTTGGATCAATGCGTTGCTAGCTTCAGCGGTGCTGCACCTATCAGCCGCGAAATCGTTGAGTACTTTGGTTGGTTCGTTAGACCTGCCTGTGTACGAGTTCTTTGGTCAGAGCGAAGCAAACGGCCCGCAGACGTGCAGCATGTAGGGCAAGTGGAAGATTGGCACGTGCGGCATTACCATTGACGGCGCGGAGACCAAGGTGGCGCCAGGCACGGATGAGTTAATCTTCAGCGGTCGCAACATCATGATGGGCTACCTCAAGGGTGAACAGCAGACGAAGGAAACGATTGACGAGAACGGCTGGCTACACTTAGGCGACTGCGGAAAGATCGACAAGGACGGTTTTATGACGATTACGGGTCGTATCAAAGAGCTCATTGTTACTGCTGGTGGCGAGAATGTCCCGCCTGTTATCATTGAGGACACGATCAAGGAGTAGCTACCGCTGCTGTCGAACGCGATGGTAGTCGGCGACCGCCGCAAATTCTTGGCTGCGGTGTTTACGCTACGTGTGACGGTAGACAAGGAAGGCAATCCGACGGATACGCTGGATGATAAGGCGCTTAGCATTATGAAGGAAATTGGCAGCTCGGCTACGACGATCTTGGACGCGCGTGCTGATGAGAAGGTAAAGGCGTACCTGGATGCTGGCTTGAAGCGTGCCAACGCCCACGCTACGTCGCGTGCCCCGTGAAATTTGCAGTGGATCCCTGAACTCTCTTGCAGCAGACAAATGGGCACCTCCTACCCGTTTGAGACTCAGCGGAGATGCCCTGAATTACTTCGGCGCGGTGACGCGCCCGGGGACATGCGCAGGCCAAGTGGAATCGTACGATCGCTGCTTCTGGATTTGCTCCTTTGCTTAAGCGATCTGGGTGCAGCTCATCAGTCATTGGGAAAGGACCTGGGTACCGCCGGAGTGTTTGAATCCTTGGAAACGCGCCTTTGCGACGAGAACGCCGCCGGCTCTTTCGTCTTATGTTCGTCAAACGGTGCTCAGCGGTACCCGGATGAGCAGGGGTACTTTGTGGCGGACCGCTGCTGGTCGATCCTCTGTGCGGTAGCGACCACAAGTCTATGGATTCGCGTGCAGCGGCTATTCCACGGTGAGCACATTGCGGAACAGGAAGAGGGCATATAGGGCAGAAGCGGTGAGGCAACCCGAAGTAGTTGCCAGTCGAGAATTATGCAAGGGGGGCACGGTAGTAAGGTGCTGAATAACAGGTGTGTCTTGAGATCTCAACTTAAGCACCAAGTAAGTCCGCGGTTCCACTCGTGGCGGCCCTGACGAGGCGTTGCGGACAACAATCCCTGCGTACTTGACATGACTGCAGAAATGTCAGAAATTTTGTACTAAATTGTTAGTAGACACTCGGTCTTGTTGGTGACGTATCAACCATAGTTCCAATCTCAGGAGTTTTGTCAAATGAAGTAAG